CCCTGCGTGGTGGGTGGGGGCCCCAATAAAACAATAAGGGGGGGACCTACTGTCCTCCCCCCTGGCCCCCACCCCTGAGCGGTGGGTGGGGGCCCTAAATGAAACCCCCCCCCCAATCAAGGTGACTAGGGGTCCCAAGCCCCTAGTCACCAACCCCCACCCAAAAAAACCTATCCCCTACCTACCCCCCTCACCCTACAAATAGTGAGGGGGGAATAAAATAACTAACCTGTAAAAAAAAAAAAATTAAACTTACCATTTGACGTCTTCTTTTTTCTAAAATCTTCTTTCTTCAGCCCCCAAAAAGGCCAAATAAAATCCATTACACCCGTCGCACTTTAAAAAAAAAAAAACGAGCGCAAAAAAAAATAATCCATGTTCGCCTTCGAGGGCACGCCGCATACTGAGCTCCGCAGGGCGGGTCAAGGCTTATAAAGCCTTGCCCCGCCCTGCAATTAGGCTTAGAACACTCTGATTGGTGGGAGCTAAGTTACAAGTAGGCCGTGATGGCCAGCGGGAAAATTCAAAGAACTTTCCCACTGTGTAAAATGACACAGAGCACTCTGATTGGTGGAAAGTTACCCAATCAGAGTGTTATGAGTCATTTTACACAGCGTGGGAAAATTCAAAAGAACTTTCCCACGCTGTGTAAAATGACACAGAGCACTCTGATTGGGTGGCATATATGGTAAAACGGGGGAAAAGCCTAATGCTTTCCCTCGCATATTAACTTCTTACCAGATTTTATTAACTATGGAAAAGAGTGGCAGGATGTAGTAGAAGTATTTAGTCCAGTCACTAAAAATGTATACTGCTGAAAATCACAACTATCTTTTAATAGGCTATGTACATGGTAAAAATTGGAGGATATGGGTTTTGATCTCCTCCGTGCAAATATATATCATACTGACAGGATAATATTGAGATCGATATAATTTTGATAACGTTTATGTGTTAAGTCACTGAATCTCGGCACATTATGAACTCTCTGTCATTGGACAGAACACATAAGCCTCCTATTCACGTTGATGCACTTTGCTGGATATAATCAGCATTTTATAATAAGGAGTGTAGAGAGTTAACTTTCGGATTGAAAGTCAAACTCCGCCCCACAATGAATCTGATTGGGGAGTTCAAATTGCCTCATGAATATTACCGAAAGTTGTGGATTTTGGCGCGAATTTTGACGGCCAAACTCCGATCTTCAATTGGCTATCGGGTATACCGTAGTCTGATATATAAGTCAGAGATTAAGCAGTCATTCCAATTCTGGCCCCTGACGAAGGTGCACGTTCCAAGCACCGAAACGCGCGTCGGGTTTTTCTGTTCTTTTTTTCACTTACTTTAGCACTGGGCACTTTCCACTATGTGCAGGCAACCAACATCCTAAGTATGGTTCTGCACTTTTTCTAACCTCTCTGTCATTCCTACTTCCTAATTATATCTGGTAGTTTTTGGAGGAGCTATTAACATTTCTGGCATTAGAGCTTATAATTATTAGTCCTTATATTGCCTACTCCTTGAGCTATTAGTTTACTAGTTTGAGTCTCTTCATTTTATTATTTCTGTGAACTTCCTGTCCACGTTTATATTGAGTATTCATCTAGTATTACCAGATACATTGGCTACTTTATGTCTCATATGAATAGCTACATTGTTTTTACGGTATAGTTCACCCATGTATCAATGTTAGCAATCTAACTTTATTAAGTGGATAACAATTTTTTCTTTAGGAATTAGGATCCATCAGTGTGACTTTATTAGTATTATAATTTTTTTTTATACTCCATTTTTGTTGATGGTTGACTACATATAGTCACAGACTGTGACCAGATTAATTATATTAAAGTCGAAAGTCTGATGAGTATTATAGTCACATCTGTTGGATCAGAGAGGTTTAGCCTATTAGGCTAGTAACACTGTTTTGTATTGGGATGACTCTATAGTCAAGAAAATATTTCCTATACCAATATCAGCGTTTAATAATTTAACCTCACTGTTTAAACAACAAATACGTGCAGGCTGGCAGATAGCATCACTAGAAAAGTATTTGACCAAGGAACTTATACCAAGAGGGCTTAGAGTACAAAATGTCCCAGCTCCCCATATTGAAGAATCTGAATTCCTGAAAGAATGGGAAGAGGCAGCAGGGTCCTGCTCACGAAAATGTATGGATATATTGTGTAGGTTTGAGAAGAGCAGATTAGAGAAAATCAATAAAGAGGTTGATGAAGAAATAGAAAAAATTCAGGCTTTTAAACAAGAGGCGAGTTTTGATCAATTGGAAATTAAACTAAAAACCCAACTAGACAGGTTCCAACTATCAATTAAAACACGAAAACACATGAAGTTCATTAGAGACACCAAAGACTTCCAAACCGGGAACGTGTACCGTAAATTTAAACGTAATAAAAGAGTTGAATTTGACAAGTTTTCTACATCTGAGTATGAAACCAGTGGCTCAGACTCAGACTTCAATACTGAAAGCCCTTCCACCTCTGTCGACCCAAACCCCAAAAGTATACTTAAAAAGGGGATTAATTTTTTAGCAAGGGCCAATATGGAGGATCGACCGCTACGCAATACAAGAAGCAGTGTAAAACAAGGGTTCAAAAGAAGGAAAGCATATTGACCGGAGATGGGCAAATAATTAATCGGTCTCCCTATCACCTTAAGCCATTTGAATTACAAGTTTTATCTAAGGGAATGTCCTTTGTCCCTACACCCAAATTTGATAAATTTGGCTGGACAAAGGACATTCACCTTTTTGCTCGAAAACTAGCCCTTCACAAGTTCCACTGCATCCAAAGATCAAAACGTGCAAACAGACTAGGTCTGGAAACACAAGACATGGATCTTTTGGATAACTTGGTTGACCTTCTTTCTATTAATGATTCTAATAGCACTCAAGTAGCACCAATGACTACACTTAAACTTAAGAGCAAATTTACTCCACATATCCCTGAATATAAATATATTGAAACTTTTGTGGAACTAACCTGCAAGGAAATAGAAGATATGGAGGTAGAACCTTTGACTCAAATACAGCAAGACAATTTGAGCCAACGGGAAAGGAAAGCATTATCGACCCTGAAAAGAAATGAGACCATTATCATAAAACCATCTGATAAAGGTGGGAATGTTGTGGTGATGGATAGAAATGAATACACTCAAATGGTGCACAGACTTCTTGATGACGGAGATACTTATACAACACTAAGCATAGATCCGACATCAAGGTTTCTAAATGAATTCCGCACCATTTTGGATGAGGCAATATCACTAAAACTAATTACCAATGATGAATATAAATATTTACTTAATAATAAAAAACCTACATTGGCAACTTTCTATGCCTTACCCAAAATACATAAACAACAAAAAGTTCTATCAGGTAGACCAATAGTTTCGGGTAGAAACAATCTTACTCAGAATTGTAGTGAGTATGTGGAATTTATCCTTAGAGATTTAGTGAAAACATTGCCCTCTTATTTGAGGGATACTAAACAGACCCTGAATATCCTCAAAGATACAGTATTACCTACTGATGCTAAACTCTGCAGCCTTGATGTGGAGGGACTTTATAGTTCCATCCCTCACGACATAGGCATTAGACACGTGAAGTGGTTTCTAGACAACAAAAGGCCAAACTGTAAAGAACACAATACTTTTCTCCTTAAACTTCTTTACTTTATTCTTACGCACAACTATTTTCTGTTTGAGGGCGTTTACTACCACCAAATGAGGGGGACAGCGATGGGGACGACTTGTGCCCCCTCTTACGCTAACCTCCATATGGGATGGTGGGAACATCATATTGTTCTCAGTCCACAACTCGCCCAATACATGAAATTTGTTGACGTATGGAATAGTTACATTGATGACATACTAATAGTATGGACAGGTACATTGGATCACTTCACTGAATTTGTAGCTGAATTGAATGTCAATGACATAAATTTGAAATTCACAAATGAGTTTGGAGATCAAAAATTTAATTTTCTAGACGTCACCTTAGAGATCAATGAGGATAGAAGCATTTCTACAACACTTTATAAAAAACCTACCGCTACTAATAATTTTTTGAACTGGCAAAGTTATCACCCTCCTGCATTAAAGAGGGGAATTCCAGTTGGCCAGTATCTTAGATTGAGAAGGAATTGCTCTTCGGTCGATGAGTTCAAACTTAAGGCTCAATCTCTAAGGACCCAGTTCAAGATAAAGGGATACCCGAATAAGTGTTTAAAAAGAGCCTATCAAAGAGCTCTTCTCTCTGATAGAACTGAACTATTACTGGAAAATATTTCCCCCCCTAAAACCCAAGGTTTGATACGGTGTATCGGAACTTTTGACTCAGGATGGGATCCGATTAAAAAAACTTTGGATAGATACTGGCCACTTCTATACCAAGATCAACATTTGAAGGATGTTTTGACCCCTTTTGTCTCATTGACAGCTAGAAGGGGTCGCAACCTCAAAGATATCTTGGTGCCAAGTCATCTTTCTCCTATTGCGGTATCCTCCACATGGTTGAAATCGCCAGCAATAGGCACCTTCCAATGCGGACATTGCAAGGCATGTAAATACATCAATAAACAATCTAAACTTCTATCCAATTCAATGAACATCGAGATCCATACTGTGAAAACTTTTTTCAATTGCAAAACAGTTGGATTAATTTATCTTTTGACCTGCAGCTGCGATAAAAAGTATGTAGGAAAGACGTTTAGACCATTTAAGATACGTATTCTCGAACATGTCAATTCAGTGAATCCATCTCGACTTATTGACACTTCAATCTCACGACATCTAAAATTACAACATAGTGGATCGGCACAGGGCTTACGCTTCTGTGGAATAGAAAAAGTCAAATTGGGCCCGCGAAAAGGAGATATTGACAGATTGCTTTTACAAAGGGAGAGTTATTGGATCTATAAATTCAAAACCTTATTCCCTTTGGGCCTCAATGAGGGATTTTCTTATACATCCTTCATATCTAACTAGATATTACAATCAGACCTTAATTAGGATGTTGTATAGTTTGAAACATCTAGATTTCTTATTATTATTATGTTTTTTCTTCTTAATGAAATATTTTGTTTGTCTCTTTTTTCTCTATTTATGATATTTATTTTTTAGTTTATATTCACTGACTTGCATACTTGTCTCTTTATTTGGTACACTTCTTATTTAATTTTTTGTATAACCAGCATTACTAAAGCATCTTGCGATCATCTAGTTATTAACCAATATGGAGCTGATATTACGATCTCTGGCACATAGCTATTTTTATGCTTAAAAGTGATTTTCTTTCCACCTTTGACCATCTGTTGCAACTATTAATATTTCATTCTTAGTGCTGGCATTCTTTTCCTCATGATACTATCGATACTACATCTTGCCTCCGCTATGGATATGTTAATTTAGGTGGGCTTTCTATTATCAAGCGATATGCCTTAACAGATTGGGAGCTGTTCTTTTATCCGTGAAAAGGTTTCGCTTTGTACAAGGTTTTGTGTATATGCATTTAATAATATAGCAGCCGACCAATTAGGACCGGGATCACCGGTACAGCTATCTAGGTTCGGCTATATGATTTCACTTTTCTTTATATGTAAATAAGAGATAGGAGCTAATATATTCGTCTAGTTCATCATTAAGTACACCTTTTTGTAAGTTATTACAATCTTCTAGTATATCTAATCTCTTAATAAGATTATATATATGGTAAAACGGGGGAAAAGCCTAATGCTTTCCCTCGCATATTAACTTCTTACCAGATTTTATTAACTATGGAAAAGAGTGGCAGGATGTAGTAGAAGTATTTTTAGTCCAGTCACTAAAAATGTATACTGCTGAAAATCACAACTATCTTTTAATAGGCTATGTACATGGTAAAAATTGGAGGATATGGGTTTTGATCTCCTCCGTGCAAATATATATCATACTGACAGGATAATATTGAGATCGATATAATTTTGATAACGTTTATGTGCTAAGTCACTGAATCTCGGCACATTATGAACTCTCTGTCATTGGACAGAACACATAAGCCTCCTATTCACGTTGATGCACTTAGCTGGATATAATCAGCATTTTATAATAAGGAGTGTAGAGAGTTAACTTTCGGATTGAAAGTCAAACTCCGCCCCACAATGAATCTGATTGGGGAGTTCAAATTGCCTCATGAATATTACCGAAAGTTGTGGATTTTGGCGCGAATTTTGACGGCCAAACTCCGATCTTCAATTGGCTATCGGGTATACCGTAGTCTGATATATAAGTCAGAGATTAAGCAGTCATTCCAATTCTGGCCCCTGACGAAGGTGCACGTTCCAAGCACCGAAACGCGCGTCGGGTTTTTCTGTTCTTTTTTTCACTTACTTTAGCACTGGGCACTTTCCACTATGTGCAGGCAACCAACATCCTAAGTATGGTTCTGCACTTTTTCTAACCTCTCTGTCATTCCTACTTCCTAATTATATCTGGTAGTTTTTGGAGGGGCTATTGACATTTCTGGCATTAGAGCTTATAATTATTAGTCCTTATATTGCCTACTCCTTGAGCTATTAGTTTACTAGTTTGAGTCTCTTCATTTTATTATTTCTGTGAACTTCCTGTCCACGTTTATATTGAGTATTCATCTAGTATTACCAGATACATTGGCTACTTTATGTCTCATATGAATAGCTACATTGTTTGTACGGTATAGTTCACCCATGTATCAATGTTAGCAATCTAACTTTATTAAGTGGATAACAATTTTTTCTTTAGGAATTAGGATCCATCAGTGTGACTTTATTAGTATTTTAATTTTTTTTTTTATACTCCATTTTTGTTGATGGTTGACTACATATAGTCACAGACTGTGACCAGATTAATTATATTAAAGTCGAAAGTCTGATGAGTATTATAGTCACATCTGTTGGATCAGAGAGGTTTAGCCTATTAGGCTAGTAACACTGTTTTGTATTGGGATGACTCTATAGACAAACAACAGGATTATTATTTATATTCACTCATATATATATATATAGATATATTCTTTATACTCCAGTTTGTGCTTTTAGTGCTGGCTCCGTGGATCCAGCACTGAGAGTCTCTTCATCTTATAATTGTATCTAAATCTCTAAATTGAACTTTAATCACATACAGGAGGCTCTTGCAGGGTCTAGCACGCTATTAACATAGCAGGGGATAAAAAAAATCTTAATTAAACAGAACTTGCAATAAAGAAAGCATAAATAGGGCTCTCTTTACAGGAAGTATTTATGGAAGGCTGTGCAAGTCACATGCAGGGAGGTGTGACTAGGGTTCATAAACAAAGGGATTTAACTCCTAAATGGCAGAGGATTGAGCAGTGAGGCTGCAGGGGCATGTTCTATACACCAAAACGGCTTCATTAAGCTACAGTTGTTAAGGTGACAATAGTGTCCCTTTAAGGTCTGGACTCTGCGGTGGCCAATCCATGTGTAAAAATGATGTCTCATTCTCCCTGAACCCCTCTTTCACAATTTGAGCCCGATGAAGCCTGGCTTTGTCATCATGGAATATGCCCGTGCCAACAGGGAAGAAAAATCCATTAATGGAATAACCTGGTCATTCAGTATATTCAGGTAGTCAGCTGACCTCATTCTTTGGGCACATAATGTTGCCGAACCTAGAACTGACCAACTGCAGCAACCCCAGATCATAGCACTGCCCCCACAGGCTTGTACAGTAGGCACTAGGCATAATGGGTGCATCACTTCATCTGCCTCTCTTCTTACCCTGATGCGCCCATTACTCTGGAACAGGGTAAATCCCCATTATCCTTCCAGTTTTTAATAATGCGTTGGACAGTTCTTAACCCAGTTTTAGTCGTTTCTGCAATCTCCTTAGATGTTTTCTCTGCTTGATGCATGCCAATGATTTCACCCTTCTCAAACAGACTAACAAATTTTCTATGACCACAGGATGTGTCTTTTGGTTGTTTAAGAAATGAGAAGCTACTCATTGCATCAGTTGGGGTTAAATAACTTGTTGCCAGCTGAAAAATAATCGCCCATGCACTAACTATCCAATAGGAGGCACTTGCCTATTTGCTTAGTTAAATCCAGGTGGCGACTTTATTTGGGCCAGGCATTGTATTTGTACACCCGCAGCCAGGTGAACCCAAAGTCTCACAGTGCACGACAGTCCCTTCTGAAGTTTTGGACTAAAAAACCATGCCCACTTTAATGTAAGCAGCTTACAATTTAAATTTGAAAAGGACATACAGGGTTTCTATTAAGTGGACTGAGAGACAAATCTGTATTTTTAGAAAAGGTATCTGGTAGGCACCACTGATCATTTCACACACTCTAGTTTAACCAACATAAAATGATAGCTTTAAAATCTTTAAATGCTTCCTCTTAACAGCAAGATGCATTATATTCACTAAATGCACTGATCAACTTACTGGCTTTATAACCATCATGAGCATGTGTGGTTTTAGTTTTTGTAAGTAATCATCTCTACTTTAAATTTAGCTTTTAAAAAAAACAAAAACAAAAAAAAAACAGTTCTTTATAATTACCACCAAAATATAACTCTGCTCCAGTAAAATGCCATATTGTTCAACAAGCCTTTCACGGGTGATACTTGGAAGTTCTGGTAGCCTTTCCTTAATCAAGTCAATATTCACCACTTGCTCTGGATCCATATTAGCAGTGGGCAATGATTTTGAGTCGTATAGTATCAGAGGCGGGAGATTTGGTTCAGGCATAAATCTTATAGAAACATGAAATAAGCATGAAAATGGGTAACATACCATATAACTATATACGTACATACACCCACACAACAAACCCCTCCCCAACCCATAACCATGTGTACTCCTTCAGGACAGGCCATGTTTTTGAGTAGTAAGAAAAAAAAACATGTTACCAGTCCTTAAAAAGTAACAGAATCACGGTAAACAAGCCAAAGTCAAGAGATCAGATAAACAAGCACACAGAGCAGTCAAGAATGCCATAAATCAGAGTAGTCAATATAAAACAGGGCGAGTGTTTCCAAAGGTTTTTTTTTCCTTCTTCAAATCTATACATTTGTTAGCAAATCTGCTAGCACAATGAATAGATTAATTTTACCACATGACAGGAGGCTTCATATTTGCATATCTTTCTTTACTGAAAACTCCAGCAGCATAGAAACAGTAACAACCAATCAGAGAAAAGATATGGTGCCCATAAAAGGCCCTGTCTATGACATCACTTCCTCTTTCTCAGTATTGCCACGGTCTACTTTTGCGCTTCTGAGTCTTTTGGCCCTTGACTGGCGGTCCGCGAGCGTCACGACTGTCCGTGCCGCGCTCACCGCGCGGACCTGCCCTTGCTGCACCAGGGGGCTGGGTGGGGACGGGTGGAGGGTAGCCAGGGTTAGAATTTACTGTTTGCCGCGTTTTTTCCTGTCCCGCTCGCGTAGCGCATACTAACGCAGCCGGCGGCTGCCTTTCTCTACACTCGGCGGTTCGGGAATCACCCGATCGCCGCAACGGATTTGGGGGGGGATTACCCTCAGGTTCCCCCCCCCCAAGGCTGTATAATATCAAGTATACTCCTCTGTCTCAGGACAGCTCACTACATCGGAATATCACCTTTCCACTAACCAACAAGGATATTTTACAAGTGACAAGTGGTCAAAGCATGCACAATTTATGATTTGTTTATGAAGGCTGTATAATATCAAGTATACATTTATCGTTATTATAATTGAACATACTGCCTCTCTGGTCCCGGCAGGGACAGATGCAACGCTATCTACCCCACAGGGGATCGGATACTGCTATACCCTTCAAGGGGAATATCATATTGGTTACCCTGCACAGGGTCATATTACATTACTGTACCCAAGGGTGCAAAAATTATGTGGGTGTCCTCTGGGTATTTTTTCATGGCACACCACCTGGGGTGACCCCCCCAGATATGCATGCAAGGGCGCTGACGGCCCATTTTCAATTGATGTGGGTGTCCTCTGGTTGCCACGGCACACCACCCGGGGTGAACCCCGTTGATATGCACAAGGGCCTATACCTTCATGTAACGAGATACGCATATTGCCCTGATTTCACTAATTACGTGCATATAAAGCCTTCTATACATATTCAAGAGTCTATCTATATCTGTACGTGACTCTCCTCCACTGAACCTTGTTTTCGCCCAACAGGTCGATATACACCCCAGATCATGGAGGATACCCAAGGCACCCAAGACTTCCAAGCCATGATCAATGCCGCCGTGGCGGCTTCGGTAGAGAAGGCCCTCTTGCGGGCTCTACCCCACGGCCAGGAAGACACAAATCCCCCTGAACGCATGGAAGCTTCGGGCTCAGAGGTGTCTAAGGCCAAGAGGCAAAGGAAGGCTTCGAGCCCCCCCTCCACCAAGACTAAGGGCAAGTTGCCCGTCAAGTGAGTTAAGAACGCGACCAACAGCCCGCGCCCTTCCCGCCTCAATCCTCGGACAAGGACGATACCTACGTTCCACATGCCTTAGATGTGGTGGACGAGTGGCACGGGGACGGCTCACCCTCAGACGACGAAGAGTGGCAAGACCTCCCACCCACCTCTTCGAAGTATGTCAAAGAGACCTTCCTCGGCAACCGGGACAAGGAACTCGACGATGATCGCCACACCCGTCAGTCCGAAGACGGGGTCTTCCTGGACGACCAGGGGACACCGCTGTTCGACCCACGCACCATCCGGCACCCACGGTCCTCAGAGTGGACGCTGCCAGATCACCTGGCAAAATTCATACATTACCGGCTGCGCAAACAGCTGGAAAAGGAGGTACGGGCACGCCTCAGGACTGAATGCCCCAGGCCGTTGATCCCCGACAAAGTGGCACTGACGCCCGAGTTCGACGACACTATGGTGGTCTTCATGTCACGCACGGGCAGGGACCCGCGCAAAGGGGTGGAGAAGGGCATAAAAGCGGCACAAGACAAAGTGCTGGATTTGCTCGGCCCCATTGCCAAGATGCTATACTTCGCAGACCTAGCCCTCAGCCAAGACTCTCAACTGGACCCTCATGTCATACGTGAATGGGCTCAACGCGCTGTGTGCCTACTGGGCAATGCTAACGCCGCACTTTGCGTCAAAAGACGCAGATCGGCCCTAATACGTATTGATAGCAAGCTCCTGGACCTCGGGGCTAAAGAATTCGGATCGAAAGCCCAAGGCCTGTTATTTGGCGATGCCTTCATCGCGGAACTTAAGACATGTGAACCTATTCACTACCTTGAACAAGGCTCAAACCTCTCTCAAACAGTGTTTTTGGAAGGGCTGGTTGACAACGGAACTGTGCCACCAGCCGATTTTGGGCCTCAGGTTCCAGACCGTTCCCACAAGCCCCGAATTTCTTCCCGTCTACAACGCAAAGACCCTTATCGTTCCGAGGAACGGGGAGAACCAGAGGCTTCAGAGGCCGTGGCCGCTTCTCCAATGGTGAGTCGACCTACATACACAAATGCATCAAAATTTATTACAGGCAACCTTTCCTTTTTCTTCCAGAACTGGGAACTGATTACCAAAGACGCCTGGGTCCTCCAGACGGTTCGCGGTTTCGTCATAGACTTCTCCGCACGACCCATTCAAAACGCTCCCCCTCCCCCAATCCACATGTCGTCAGGACAAAGCCACCTAGTAGATGAAGAGATCCACGCTCTCTTCGAGAAAGGCACGATACAATACGCACCGGACGGGAGAGGCTTTCTAAGCAACATTTTCTTGGAAAACAGACGAGTACAGGCCGGTTATCAATCTCCGGCAGTTAAACTCATTCGTATCCTACAAACACTTCAAGATGGAAGGAATACATCTTCTACAAGACCTTCTCGTCAAGGACGACTGGTTTATGCGCCTGGACCTCAAAGATGCATATCTGTCCGTCCCAGTGGACGTACACTGCCGACAATTCCTCCGCTTCCGATGGAGAGGACGGATATGCTAATTTACATGTCTGCCATTCGGCCTCAGCTCGGCTCCGTGGTGCTTCACGAAGCGACGGAGACCAGTGATGGCTCACATCCGAACGAGGGGCATACGATGTCTCGTATACTTGGACGATTTGCTGATCTTTTGCGAATCCTCATCCAGGCAACGATCACAGACGAAATTTGTCGTTCACTCGTTAGAATCCCTAGGCTTCGTAGTGAACAGACAGAAGTCGTCTCTCTCCCCCTCCCAGTCGGTCCAATTCCTGGGTTTCGACATCGATTCGAAGGAATGCGTACCACGCCTTCCATCTAAAAAGATAGCCTCGATAAGGAAATCAGACGAGTCCTGAGGATGGACACAATACCTCTCAGGATGCTCGCTCGAATCGTAGGACTCCTTTCCTCATCCATACAAGCGATATTCCCGGGCCCTCTACACTACAGGGCCATGCAACAGCTGAAAGCGGGATACCTGCGCACCGGACATTCCTACGACCACTGGATCCCACTCTCGTCGGAAGTGAGATCGGAACTGCGATGGTGGTTCCTACATATACAAGCCTGGAACGGCAGAGCGATCTACGGCCCTTCGCCGGACTTCATAGTGGAATCGGACGCCAGCCTGTGGGGATGGGCTAACGGGAGGCCCATGGCAGAAAGAGGAGACCAACCTACACATCAACTGCCTGGAATTGATCGCGGGATCCTTCGCCATCCGCAGCCTGGCCAAGGACAGGTCGAATTGCTGTATCCTGCTCCGCATGGACAATGTCTCGGCGGTACAATACATCAACCGCCTGGGCGGAGCGAGGTCGAAAGACCTGACGGAAGCCACGAAGGACATCTACAGTTTCTGCCTACGGAGGAACATCACGCTGCAAGCAGAATACCTCCCAGGAATCTCCAACCTGACGGCGGACTGGTTCTCCCGCCACTGGAGAGACACCAGCGACTGGAAACTCAACAGGGAGATATTTCAGACACTACGTCAGCGGATGGGCCCACTAACAATAGACTTGTTCGCCTCCAGGACCAACCACCAAGATACTACAGTTGGCTTCCGGACCCGAAGGGCGAAGCAGCGGATGCATTCCTTAAGGACTGGCCCTCCCACGGGGCCTATGCTTTCCCTCCATTCTCATTGATCCCACGGGTATTGCGATACACCCGCACTCACAGGATATCGCTCCTGCTCATAACACCACTTTGGCAGAGCCAACCGTGGTTTCCGGACCTCTTTGAGATGTCCCAGGACCATCCCATCCGGCTCCTGACCTACCCATTGCTCCTGTCGAGACCTCGAGGGGAACTCCATCCCCTCGTCCTGGAAGGACAACTGGAACTGGTGGCCTGGACGATTTCAGGGGCTCCTGGTCAGTCCACGGCCTATCGCAATCTACTAAAGACCTCCTGTGGGACTCATGGGCTCCTGGCACCAGGAGATGTTACATATCCGCCTGGTCAGCCTGGAGTGATTGGTGCATGGAAAGGGATTCCAATCCCTTTACTGCCTCTGTCCCACTGATCCTCAACTATCTCGCTCATCTGTTCTCGACGGGTCGATCATATAGATCCCTTAACGTGATCAGATCGGCTATTTCAGCAGCGCACGTCCCAGTATAAGGCAAGCCAGTGGGTCAAGATCCTCTGGTATGTCGTCTACTGCGGGGTGCCAAACTTACAAGACCCCCAGCACCCAAATATTCCAGCCTCTGGCAGGTGAATGGGGTGCTGGACTTCCTTCGGGGCTGGCCGGACAACCCCGTTCTATCGCTGAAACAGCTTTCAGCCAAACTGGCTCTTTTGTTATGCCTCGTCTCATTCCGACGGGTGTCAGACGTTAGGGCGTTTGACATGGACGGTTTTTCTCTCACTCCGGAGGGAGTCACCTTCTCCATTTCTAGACGGACTAAATCAGACTCGTCCTCAGTGTCTTATCCATATTTCGAATCAGACTCCAAGCTATGCGTTGTCAGGACACTTATGAGGTATACGGAAATCACAGCCAACCTTCGGCATACCCCGACGGGTCAGCTGCAGATTTCTTACGTAAGGCCTCACGCACCGATGTATACAACAACCCTGGCCAGATGAGTACGCTGGCTACTGAGGTTGGCAGGAATCGAACCTAGCTTTGGAGCACATTCGGTCAGAGGTGCGGCAGCATCCCAAGCCTTCTTGGCAGGCGCATCCCTAACCGACATTATGCGTTGCGCAGACTGGACACGGGAGAGTACGTTTAGGACATTTTATTTCCGCCAATCCTCTCACGCCTCCTTCACACTGGTAAAGTCTAAGCTTTAAAAATGCAAATATGAAGCCTCCTGTCATGTGGTAAAATTGAAGATTATATTAGTTTTAGTGTACTAATAATCTTAATTTTAGTAATGACAGGAGGCGAATATTTCCCACCCTATAGGATCCCTCCCAAGTTATCTCGTGTTATAAGATTATATTTTAGTGTTCAGGAAGGCATGCATGTTAGGATTGTATTACTACTTAGACATGTAGCTGTTTTAGTACGGTATAGTTGGGTTCTTGGTCATGTGCCTTGAATTATGTTGTGTTTTACTTATTACATGTCTTAACTTGCGAGTTTATACAAGTGTTGATAGTTTCACAGTCTATATCCATTGGGATTTTCAGGTTCTTAATGTTTATTGCATGCGGACATGTTACCACTTCAGAGACCTTTCACCTTTTTCTTTTTCTTTCAGCGTGAACGTCTTCTCTTCGGGACAAAGACTCACCTCCCATACGGTTACACCATGGAATTACCGGAGTTATGTTCCCTGCTATGTTGTTGAACTGTTAACTAAATATGATTATGTTTTTGTTGTTATTTATCATTCGCTTCAAAGAAAGAGGAAGTGATGTCATAGACAGGGCCTTTTATGGGCACCATATCTTTTCTCTGATTGGTTGTTACTGTTTCTATGCTGCTGGAGTTTTCAATAAAGAAAGATATGCAAATATTTGCCTCCTGTCATTACTAAAATTAAGATTATTAGTACACTAAAGCTAATATAATCTTCAATTTTTTTTGCTCTTTTAAAAATGCATATATTGCACGTGGCATTACAAGTACCCATTAAATTCACAAAAAATGCCTACATTTAACCAGATCGTAAATATGTTTAGAAATGTATTTATGCATTACATAACACATGTAGACATGGTCAAAACATATTGAGTCATGATAATTCATAATTCGCTCTATTATCTATTTATTTTAATATATTTTGTAGTTGTTAAAAATGTAGGGGTGTGTTATAGCACAAGTCATTAGATATAATAAATAAGCTATATGGTCATATAAATAATATGTAACAATAGATAAGTTTAAAGGAAAAAGTACACTGCTGTGAAAGCAGATCCTTAATAATGTTTCATCAACAAGTTTAAGAGTGCTCAGTCAATAGATCAAAATATACATCACTGAACATTAAGGTTTATAGTACAGAATGCAAATAAAGGTTCTCTGCTGCTTGGAGATTTTTGATTTTGATATATTTCTGGTCCTTGTCTGTTGGCTTTAAAGAGACACTATAGGACCCAATAAGATTGATGATCTCAGCCAAGGAAGCAGGACTGACTGGGTAGGGCAAATCCCAAACATTAAGCAAGTCACTATAACTTTAGGTACACTTGTTTGGATTCATAACACTGTAGTGTTCTTTTAATTTTATTGGCATTTATTAGAATAAAATGTGTTGTTCAAGATATGTGTGTTGTCTCTAATACATCCCTTAAAAAAAAAAAAAAAAAGTTTCCCCACCATATATTATATATATATAAAAATATATATAATGTAACTAAATCCCCATTATTTTTTGCCTAGATTAGGTGTTTCTAAAAAAAACCTTTAGAAAAAAAAACTAATAAAATCTGTCAACACTGAAGTTGCTGTTTAGTAGATAGGAGAGTGCGATGGATCTTGTGTATTGTTTATTGTATAATATGGCCCCCAGCAGCACCCCATTTAAGCATGTTCAGGTGAGTGCAACCACCCCCCCCATGATAGACAGATATATATATATATATATATATATATATATATATATATATATATATATATATATATATATATATATATTTGGGAGTCTAGCCAACTCCTTGGTTTTGCACCCCCCCTGCCTCATCTCAGGTCCCTATTTAGCCTTGTATTGCAGAGAGCCTCAGATGGAATTTTTTCCCCAAGTAAGTGAGTTATTTACATAATAGTAGACATTAGACTGTGAGAGTAGGACCTGCCAAACATAGGGTACATTGACGTTGTGGCAGGCTTATACAATGTATGGTCATTATAATGTAACTAAATCCCCATTATTTTTTGCCTAGATTAGGTGTTTAAAAAAAAAAACCTTTAGAAAAAAAACGTAAAAAAATAATAATCTGTCAACATTGAAGTTGCTGTTTAGTAGCTAGAGTGCGCTGGATCTTGTGTATTGTTTATTGTATAATATGGCCCCTAGTAGCACCCCATTTAAGCATGTTCAGGTGAGTGCAACCCCCTGCCCCCCCATGTTTCATGTATAAAAATGGTAAGATTTTAGGTGGTGCAAAATTTACACGAAAAAGTTATGGAATTAAAAATAGTTACAATATAATTACATAGTAGAACAAAGCCATGAAATCACAACTATCTCAATTTTATACGTGTTTACAATTGTGAAAATATTGCACATTTAAAAACACCTAATTCAAGTTCTCATTCTGTAAAATTTAGTTGCCCTGACAGCAGCTTGATCATAAAAGTACACACCACAGAGGGTGAAGGCTTCTCTAAAATATTAAAAAGAGAGATAAAAATAAACACCAACCGGTAATCTTGCTTTCCTTCTTTATCTCTCATAGGTATGGTAGACCTATAAAATGAGAAATGACCCAAATACAGTTAACACACTCTACTGTAAGAAAATAAAAATGAATTAATCTGTCACATATAAGTGTCATTAGGCATAAGATAATGTCATTTTTGGCATGATTTTAATCATTTCTGCTGACAACATATCAAATCTATTCCTTACAGTATTCATGCATGCTACAACCCAATATGTAATATAAAAAAAATAAATAAAAAATAAATAAAAAAAAACACATTTAACCCCTTAAGGATACAGCTTCAGTTTGGTTGTTTTGTACTTAAAGGTACAAGTATAGGCACCCAGACCACTTCATCTCATTGTATCGGTCTGGGTGCAGTGTCTCTGTCCCTCTTAGCCCTGCAATGTAAAACATTGCGGTTTTAGAGATCAGACAGCCACTAGAGGCGATTCCTGCAGTTTTATGGCGTTTGATTCTGTGAAACAAGGCTGAACGTCCTCATGCTTTGCATTAGGACACCTAGTGTCATACATAGAATGTGACGGCAGATAAGAACCATTTGGCCCATCTAGTCTGCCCAATTTTCTAAATACTTTCATTAGTCTCTGGCCTTATCTTATAGTTAGGATAGCCTTATGCCTAAACTCCTTTACTGTGCTAACCTCTACCACTTCAGCTAGAAGGCTATTCCATGCATCCACTACCCTCTCAGTAAAGTAATACTTCCTGGTATTATTTTTAAACCTTTGTCCCTCTAATTTAAGACTATGTCCTCTTGTTGTGGTAGTTTTTCTTCTTTTAAATATAGTCTCCTCCTTTCTGTGTTGATTCCCTTTATGTATTTAAATGTTTCTATCATATCCCCCCTGTCTCGTCTTTCCTCCAAGCTATACATGTCAAGATCCTTTAACCTTTCCTGGTAGGTTTTATCCCGCAATCCATGAACCAGTTTAGTAGCCCTTCTCTGAACCCTCTCTAAGGTATCAATATCCTTCTGAACATACGGTCTCCAGTACTGTGTACAATACTCCAAGTGAGGTCTCACCAGGGTTTTGTACAATGGCATGAGCACTTCCCTCTTTCTACTGCTAATACCTCTCCCTATACAACCAGGCATTCTGCTAGCATTTTCTGCTGCTCTATTACATTGTCTGCCTACCTTTAAGTCATCAGAAATAATCACCCCTAAATCCCTTTCCTCATATGTTGAGGTTAGGACTCTATCAAATATTCTGTACTCTGCCCTTGGGTTTTTACGCCCAAGATGCATTATCTTGCACTTACCCACATTAAATGTCAGTTGCCACAATTCTGACCATTTTTCTAGTTTACCTAAATCATTTGCCATTTGGCTTATCCCTCCTGGAACATCAACACTGTTACATATCTTCGTATCAGCAGCAAAAAGACATACCTTACCATCAAGACCTTCTGCAATGTCACTAATAAAAATATTAAAGAGAATGGGTCCAAGTACAGATCCTTGAGGTACCCCACTGGTGACAAGTCCAAGCTTCGAATATATTCCATTTACTACAACCCTCTGTTGCCTGTCACTCAGCCACTGCCGTACCCATTCAACAATATTGGAATCCAAACTTAAAGGGACACCGTAGGCCCTGTATCTGCTTCATCTCATTAAACTGGTTATAGTGTCTGGAGTCTTCTGGTCCCATCTTTTCTATCAGCATTAAACAGTTTTTAAAGTTTTAATGCTAAACAAGAGTCCCCGGCAATCCATCCCCTCTGTGCTGCTTTGGCTAATAAGGAAGTATTAGCCTGAGGAGAAATGGGCAGATGTGATTGGCTGAGAGTGTCAGCTGACTGCTTTTAGCCTGTCAGAGGTCCAACTGACAGTATGAGTGGGTATGACAACAAAGAAGTGTGTAATCTCTGCCTTAGCTACACATACTGAAGGGGCCGGACTGTGGGTGGCCAGGGACTTATTTTGTGGCATACTGCACGAACATGGTGCAACACTGAATGGAGGGACAGTGCCAGGGTACTCCAGGCACTATGACCAATTCAAAGAGTTGAAATGATTATAGTGACTACAGTGTCCCTTTAAAGATTGCAGTTTATTGATAAGCCTTCTATGTGCAACAGTGTCAAAAGGCTTACTGAAATCTAGGTAAGCAAGGTCTACTGCACCACCCTGATCTATAATTTTAGTTAACCAACAAAAAAAATCAATAAAATTAGTTTGGCATGATCTCCCTGAAGTAAACCCATGTTGTCTCTGATCTTGAAATCCATGTGTTTTTAGATGTTCATCAATCCTATCCTTTAACATGGTTTCCATTACTTTCCCTACTACTTAAGTAAGGTTTACTGGCCTATAGTTGCCCAACTCCTCCCTATTACCTTTCTTGTGAATGGGCACAACATTCTCTAACTTCCGATCTGGGACTACTTCTGTTAACAATGATTGGTTAAATAAATCTGTTAATGGTTTTGCTAATACACCACTAAGCTCTTTTAATAGCTTTGGGTGTATTCCATCAGGTCCCATTGACTAATTTGTCTTTACTTTTGACAGTTGAAATAGAACCTCTTCCTCTGTAAACTCACGTGTAATAAATGACTAATTTATCCTTTTTCTTAACTGAGGTCCCTTTCCTTCATTTTCATCCGTAAATGCAGAACAAAAATATTAATTGAGGCAGTCAGCTAGACCTTTATCCTCTTTTACATACCGCCCTTCTTTTGTTTTTAATCTAACTAATCCTTGTTTTACTTTTCTTTTCTCGTTTATGTATCTAAAAAAAGTTTTGTCCCCCCTTTTTACTGACTGTTATTTTCTCTTCTGCCTCTCATTTTGTCTTCCTCACTCTGTTTTTTTTTTATAATTACTAAATGCTAACTTTTTGTTTTTTTACTATTTTGGCCACATCTGCGGAGTACCACAGTGGTTTCTTGAATTTTTTGCTTTTACTGACAAGCCTAATGCAATTTTCTGTTGCCTTCAATAGTGGAACTTTTAAATTTAAATAATCCCATTTCTCTTGGACTCCATTTAAATTGCTCCAGTCTGATAATGACTCAAACATTCTAATTTTAGAAAAGTCTGTTTTTCTAAAGTCTAAAACTTTAGTTTTTGTGTGGTGTGACTCAGTCACTGTTCTTATATTAAACCACACTGACTGATGATCACTGGATCCTAAACTTTCACCTACAGTAATATCTGATACCAAATCTCCATTTGTTAACACTAAATCTAGTATGGCCTCTTTACGAGTTGGCTCCTCAACAACTTGTTTTAGAGACAATCCCAGTAGGGAGTTTAGAATATGTGTGCTCCTGGCACAAGTAGCTAATTTTGTTTTCCAATTTACATCAGGAAGATTAAAGTCACCCATGATGATAACTTCCCCTTCATTGTCATTTTAGCTATTTCCTCAACTAGTAGATTATCTAACTCTTCAATTTGTCCTGGGGGCCTATAAATCACACCTACATGAGTTACTGTGTGATTACCAAATTCTAACGTAACCCAAACGGACTCTATGTTCGCCTCACTAACTTTTATTAGGCTAGATTTTATGCTATCCTTCACATACATGGCCACCCCTCCCCCTTTCTTGCCTTACCTATCTTTTCTATATAAAGAGTACCCTGGTATTGCTATGTCCCAGTCATTTTTCTCATTATACCATGTCTCAGTAACAGCGACTAAATCTACACTATCAGTTGCCATTATTGCCACAAGTTCATGGATCGTATTCCCTAAACTGTAAGCATTTGTAGACATGACTCTAAGCTTATCAGTTTTTAAAACACTTGCTACAGTCACCTTCTGTCCTTGTTTTGGGGGACAATTGGATTGATGTTTTATCACCCTTTTGCCCCCTCCTAGTTTAAATACATCCTAGCAAAACAAATCTGAACTGCTCACTGAGAACATTTGTTCCCTTTTGAGAAAGATGCAAAACATCTTTTTTGTACAGTTTATTTCCATTCCAAACAGAGCTACCATGAGAAATAAAGCCAAATCCTTGCTCCCGACACCATTCACCAAGACACAAATTAAAGTCCCGAATACGCATCCGCCTGTCGTTCTGAGTGTTATGCACAGGCAGAACTTCAGAGAATGACAGTGTGGAAGCAACCTGCCGTATATCATTGGCAAAAAACACTAAAAACTTCCTTAACCTCTGAAACCTCATTGCAAGCCAAGTCATTTGTCCCTAGATGGACAAGTACATCCAATTCCCCTTCCTGCTTTGCTTGCTTAACAATATTACAGATACGTCTCCTAACAAGACCACCATTGTCCATCTCCACACCTCTTATGATGGAATCCCCCAACAACAACTACTTTCTATTAGGCCTTACCATAGTCTCCAAGTCGGTCTCCACACCACCACTAGCCTCAGTGCCCCCCTCCACAACACCACTAGCCTCAGTGCCCCCCTCCACAACACCACTAGCCTCAGTGCCCCCCTCCACAACCACATTACACTCTGAAAGTGTAGAAAATTCATTATGTAGAGCAACAGACTGCAATATGCCTTTTATCCACAACTCTTAGTCTACCAGATCCTACAGTAATCCATCTGCCATACCTAGTATGTCTCTGCGGCGGTGGCTTTGCAGCAGTTCCAGCCGGAGTTTGTTCACCAGATAATTTACAAATCTCAGACTTCAAAAATACAATCTCCTGCCGCAAGATAGAGAACTGTCTACAGATTAGACAACAACCAAACCTCCAAAAAGTGGAACGTGAAACCAATGCATAGCAATTATTACACTGAACTAAGTCTGCCATTCCAATGAGGAGAATAATTTAAATCAAACAAATCTTAACTTTGTATTTATCCTCCTGAATACCTCAGATTACCTCCAGGTTATCTCCAGAATATCTCCAACTACACACTTAGAAGCAACACTTAGATGAAGCAACCAAGCTATATTAGCCAAGCTAATGACAACAACCCTTATATAACTCCTAAAATCACCACCCACTAGGAATGTTTAACGCCTGGGTAGGCCTCTGCTTATTTGCAAACAATAGCTAATTTAAACAGCACCCAATAGCAAGAAGCTAACTAATCAAATGCCTTATAATTACCAACAGGAATTAAAACCTTGTGCAATCAGTAACCTTTTCCTACAGATGAATCTTACCTGTAACAGTAGAAAAGAAAGCTCTTAGACAGTTGAAGCTTCTGTGAAACTCTCCAGAATATCTCCAACTACACACTTAGAAGCAACACTTAGATGAAGCAACCAAGCTAAGCTACATATCCAAGCATAGGAAAGCATTGATTCAATACTCTTATATCGGGAAGGTTTAATGCGACTGTGACGGACAGGAATTAGGTAAGTGAATAAGTATGTCAGCCTCAAGTGCCAACTGTAGTAATTGTGATGAAGTCGTTAAATTAAAGGATTTGAGAAAGGGTTCTGCAAGGACTTTATAATTAGAGTATCTCTTACAAAAATCTTTGTATCGAGAGATAGAGGGAAAAAGACCAGAAAGAAAAAAGCTCTAGAACTGGATAAATATAGGAATTCACCAAAAACCTATTAAAGACAAGATAAATGGGATCTGCTGCACAAGAGGTGTAGTAGTAAAAAATCCAGGAGCTGATAAATATAAGATAGTAATTGCAGGAAATCGGATAAATAGAAAATTTGCGCTGATCTGCGCTGCTGATCAGATGTTGCGATCAGAACACCAGTGATCGGGAGAGTTGCCGGGCTGCTGTGCTGACACCTCCTATCTCTAGTCTTTGTGTGGACAATCTGTAACCTCGAGCTTCGTCTGACGCGTTTCGTAGGGGTAGCCCTACTTCCTCAGAGACATCTGATCTTGAGAATCACTATTTCCATAGAAGGTGTTTTAGTACACAACCATGATTGTGCAGGAGCTCACCTGGCCGCTAATGCGATTTTATTTTGAAATTTCTGTTCAAAGATAGTGTCAGGATTTCCCCATATCTTCCTTTCCAATCGGCATTACACGTACGACTTCTGGGTTTCGGCGATCTGACTCCGCCCATGCGTCTGACGTCACACGCTTCCCTTTAGAGAAAGCCGCAAACTAATCAAGATTGTTCAATGTGTGCCTCTCGCATACTTGCTACTTCGTTGCAGATTGCAGTCTGAGCTTTACTTCCAGTTTTACTGTGTACCGAACCATCTGTCTTGCTCCTGACAACGCTGTCTTCTCTGTATACCGAGCCCTCTGGCTTGCTCTGGACAATGCTGTCTTCTTTGTGTATCAAACCCTCTGGCTTACTTCTGACAACGCTAACCTCTCGATTTCCAGACTTTGGAACAGACATCACCACTTCCTCTATTCCTCTACATACTTCAAGGAACCATAACCCTCATCAATGCTGGAAAGGACTTCAATGCCTGGGATTATTAATTGGTTTGCACCTGAAGCTATTGAAAAGGATAAGAAGGAATATAATTGTCTGCCCTCTGGGATTCAGCTACTCATCTCCTAATGAGACATTAACTCCCCAAGATGAGGCACGAGGGCCTAACATAGGGCCTTCAAATATTGTGGCAGGGACTCTGTAGTTATGGTGTCTGTTATTCCTCGAAAGCAGAGGTTATTGCATCTTGCCCTATCCTCCATATCCTCCAATTTCAGTTTCATTGGCCTGCTCCTCTTCTAGCCTCTGCAGTTTATCCACTACATCGTAATGTGAGGAGCAGAGCTCTTCTGTCTTGGTTTCTAGGTGGCTGGTACAACCTCCCAGGTCTTGAATGTCCTGGCGTAGTTCTTTAGTAATTTGCCAAAAGTCAGATCTCAGAAAACCCTTAAGATCCTGTAGCATGGTGTGTAGGCTATTCGTTACGGGACGTCCTCCGTAGCAAGTTGCATTGGCTCGGAGTCTGCTGGGCTATCCGAGGCCAGTGAGTGTGGTGCAGACTCGCCGCTATTTTGTAGTTGCCTCGTGCGATCTTTTTTACTGTCGTATCGGGTCCATGATTTTGAGCTTGTTGGATGGTGCCATCAGGGTCTCTGAGTCCTGTGCCCCCAAAATATTAATGTTTGATGCTTTTGTGGCTTACCTGTAGTCACTTTGGGCTCGGTGGATCACAGAGCTCTCACGCCATGCATCTACTCAGTATGGTAGTTGGCCATGCCCCCTCAAAAGGTGGTATTTATTATGGACTGCTTCTCTAACTGACTTATTGGCTCTTGTGGGTTTGTCAAATATTCTGTTGGTTTCTGATAAGAACTGCACTGTAATTGTGGGAAAGAAATGACTGTCCAGTGCACATATAAGTGTGCAACTCTTTGAAGCCCCGGTATTTCAAATTGTTTTCCTTATTCCTCCCTATCACAGGATTTAGCCTCCCGTTCCCCCATTCCATGGCAAAAAATAAGTAAAAGAAAAAATAAAGAAACTTGAGAAGCTTGAAACCAAAATCATAGTAACAAACAAACAGTGCATTAAGTCTGGCCTTGATTAACCCCTTAAGACCGCAGCCAAATGTACAAGTTGTGATCAAAACAAAACGTAAACAAAACCTGACATTTGCGCTATATGTCTGTCCAACCGTAATTCACCTCTTTCATATTAAATGCACCCACACTTATTATATATAATTTTATTCGGGGGAAACAGGGCTTTCATTTAACATCAAATATTTAGGTATGGAACATAATTTAATATGAATAAAATGTAAAAAAAATGGGAGAAAAATATGTGAGTGTCAAAATACGGTTTGCTTTTACTGCAATAAAATACATATATTTGTATTCAGCGATGTCTCATGTGTAAAACAGTACCCTCTATGTACAGGTTTTATGGTGTTTTGGGAAGATACAGGGTCAAATATTGCGTGTTAAATATTTCAGTTTTTTCACATTGAAATTCCCCAGATTGGTTGCGTTGCCTTTGAGACCATATGGTAGACCAGGAATAAGAATTACCCCCATGATGGCATACCATTTGCAAAAGTAGACAACCCAAGGTATTGCAAATGGGATATGTCCAGTCTTTTTTAGTAGCCACTTCGTCACAAACACTGGCCAAAGTTAGTGTTAATATTTGAAAATGCAAAAAAACTAATTTGAACGCCAATTTTGCCCAGTGTTTGTGACTAAGTGGCTACTAAAAAATACTGAACATACCCCATTTGCAATACCCTGGGTTGTCTACTATTGCAAATGGTATGCCATCATGGGGGTAATTTTAATTCCTGGGCTACCTGTACATGAGGGGTGCTGTTATACTCGGGAGACTTCGCTGAACACAAATATTAGTGTTTCAAAACAGTAAAATGTACCACAAAAATTATATCGTCAGTGTGCCATTTGTGTGTGAAAAATGCAAAAAAATATCACTGCCGATATCGTCGTTGTAATACATTTTACTGTTTTGAAACACTAATATTTGTGTTCAGCGAAGTCTTCCGAGTAAAACAGTACCCCCCATGTACAGGTTTTATGGTGTCTTGGAAAGTTCCAGTGTTAAATATCGTGCTAGCAAATTAAATTCCCTGAACTTTCAGCCTGGGTTGTCAGGTAGGTCCTGCAAATTGTAATTAATAAAATGACCTAATTGTGTAAAATTATTACATAAATATATACGTAGAATTATTATATATATACACACACGTACGTACGTACGTACGTACGTACGTACGTGTGTGTGTGTGTGTGTGTGTGTGTATATATGTGTATATAATTTTTTACAATTAATTTTTTATATATAGGTATATTTAAGCGATATATACGTATGTAGATATATAACAAAAATAGAAAAGTCCTTGCACTCACGCTTGGATGATTTGGTAACCGGGTGCTTGTAATCCAGGAAAATGGATACTCAATAAATTGTTATTTTTAATTCTTGAAAATACGAGAGTGCTGATCACTATTTGAATATTATATATATATATATGCACACACACATACATACATACACACACACACACACATATATATTATTTCGTTCTACATGTATTTTGATATCTATATATATTAATTTTAAATAACAGTTAGAAAGAAATTACACATGTGTATATATTTTTTTTCTTTAAATATTTATTTTATATAAATATATATAATAGTTATATATATATTTAATCAATATCATTGTACGTGTATTTTGATATTTATATATAATTATGTATATATTAATATTAAAATACACTTAGTGTATGTGTGTATATATACTTAGATCATATAATAAATATATATATGATCTAAGTATATATTATTTATTTTTACACTGATTTAACATTTATTATTTAATTTTCAGGCAGCAGGGGGAGTACCTGTCATTACAGGCACTTCCTCTGCTGGCACTGACATGGACGGCTATGCCGTCCATGTGATCGCGAGGTCCTCGCGATCACATGGCCCAGAGGGGCCGAAGAGGACAGAGGGGTAAGTACATAAGATCGCAGGGCGTTCTGTCGCCCTGCGGCATTTAGAGACACTTCCTTAAGGACGGCATAGAACGCACTGCGGTCTTAAGGGGTTAAGACAAGCAAAGGATTTAATCTAAGCAGAGGGATACCTTGAGATTTCAACAAAGACAATCCCTTGCTGACATCATAGAGAGATTTATTTGACTACATCAGCACAGATAATTGTTTGTAGTGCAGAGCACTCTCCGAACAATCTGCACTTTACAACTGTAGCATAGGAGGGATTATTTACCTCTGCTGCTAAATCATATTGTGACAAGTTATCACAATATGATTAAATTGGCTCCTGCAGCAGTGATCAATCGCAGAAAAAGGTCCCTGGGCAATCCGCATAGCCCATTGCTGATCACTCTCTGCAGCGGGCTTGCAGCGAAAATCCATGGGTCTCCCCATACACAAGGGGAGACCCATGGATTTTACATTTGAAAGGAAAATCTTTTTGCATAATGCACTATTGTAATAAACCTGTAGGCAAGGTCATAAATTGCACATACTCTCTAGTTGTAGTTCTAAAGCATTCAGGAAAGGCTTTAAGGCTGCTTAGAGAGTATAATTAATCACTAGACTATCTTATCTATTTGTCTGGGGCCACTAAATATGGTCCCAACTGACACAGGGAAGCCCCAGGTATCAGGGCTGGAGTCTTCTTGGTGTGAGCAGAAATGTAATCCTGCATATATCAAGTTAGAACAGCAGAGATGTCACTCTCCATTTGAAGAACTCCATGCAGTACTCATTTTAATCTGAATTTACTTTGATGATCAGTTTCACTTACTCATCTGACTAATACAAAGGAGCTTTTATATGATGTAGCAAATAAGACCAACTTACCCGTGTTTATAATCAAATGATCTGGTTTCATTTAAAATTGTTCCTCCATTATCCAGTACTTTAATTTGTCTCTGAATTTCATAATCTAATTAAAATAAACAAAACACAGTTGTAGCACCTTCTAAAACTAAAGCGGCAATAATTTTTATTCCAAAAATTTCACATATGTTGTGGATACCTACCATGCTAATAATTTGTCGGTTGAATATCATGAAAGTCTTAAAGTGAATGCTTTTTTTTCAATAGACTTAAAAGGACAGTTTAGGCACCATAAGAACATAATCTACATGAAGTTGATATGGATCCAGGTGGCCTTCAGGTGCACTCTTACCTTCAGGTATTAACCGTTCAAGGTTTAACTCCAAACTTGCCTTAAGCCCAGATCTGTAGGTACCTACAGGCAGCATCCCGCTCATAAATCTCAGTTTCAGGAAGTGCAGAGTGCAGGGGCACCACTGACTGGCTGAGAGTAGTCAGCTGACGCGCTCAGCCAATCAGTGACTCCCCCTTCACAAAATTGGCTTGAAAAAGGTGTGTTTCTTTACAAGACAGTTTTATGAATTGGGAGTCACTGATTGGCTCAGAGCGTCAGCTGGCAGCGTTCAGCCAATCAGCGGCGCCCATGCCCGGTAGCACTTGGTGCTTCCTGAAATAGATTCAGGAGCCGGATATCGCCTGGGGGAGGGAACCTACACATTAGTGCTGAAAGCAACCTTGGTGTTCAACATTTCGAGAATGGTTTAACCCTGGCACCATAACTTTGTGAAGAGGTTATTTTGGTGCCCGGAGTGCCCCTTTAATTTGTGCAGATTCTCAAAGGACTTTTTTCTGAACAAAGATATACAAAACATACCTATGCGTGCTTTACATTTGAAATGAAAATCTTTTTGCATAATGCACTATTGTAATAAACCTGTAGGCAAGGTCATAAATTGCACATACTCTCTAGTTGTAGTTCTAAAGCATTCAGGAAAGGCTTTAAGGCTGCTTAGAGAGTATAATTAATAACACAACAAGATCACACATTTCACTAGTGTGGATTTAGATGATTTAGTTTAAAAGTGCAAGTGTCATGCAAATATGAGGCAAGAAATGTTCATACCTCATTATTTGTTTTGTTTTGTACATTGCATATTTCATGGTTGTATACAAACAACAAGGTTTTGTTGTTTGTGTTATATATCATAACTCTATCACTCCATATGTAATGGTGTAACAAGCAATTATAATTTGTGTTTCCTATGTTACTATTTTTTTATTGAGCACTCCACTTTTCATTGTACCGTTTGTCTTTTTGTTGGCTTTTCATTCTAAGTTTAGCAGCAGTATTTTTCATGCAACCAGAGAGCATAGAGCCAGAAGTGACTAGACGCCTCTTCGGTGAATGTTCATAGAGGTGGATAAACTGACATTCAATGAAAACATAAAAACACTTTAATTAGGTTTAAAATATACAAAAGGCTGGATTCAGGGTGAACAAGCGCACACACAATGAGCTAAAATAAAGTATCTACAGTCTACTGAGTAGAGGCACTAATTATTCTCTTAAAGGAACACTATAGGGTCAGGAACACAAACATGTATTCCAGACCTTACAGGGTTAAAACCACCATCTAGCCACCCTGGTCCCCTCATGCCTCCCTAAATATAGTAAAATCGTACTTGTATTCAAGGCTGCAACTGCTTACTTTGTCCCTCTTTCCTTTAGACCTGCCCACTGCCTGCTGACATCAGCAGATGTGGTAGCCTGATCCAATCACAATGTTTCCCCATAGGATTGGCTAAGACTGACAAAGAGGCAGATCAGGGACAGCACAATTCAAACACAACCCTTGCCAATCAGCATCTCCTCATAGAGATGAATTGAATCAATGAATATCTATGAGGAAAGTTCATACAGAAGGAGGGGACACTGAATGTTTGGATGCATTTTAAGCAGCCATGACCCAGGAAGGATCTCTAACAGCTGAGGAGTGGCCAGTGAAGTTATCACTAGGCTGTAATGTAAACACTGCATTTTCTCTGAAAAGACAGTGTTTACAGCAAAAAGCTTGACGGTAATGATTCTACTCACAAGAACAAATTCAATAAGCTGTAGTTGTTCTGATGACTATAGTGTCCCTGTAAGGACAAACCTAACAGAGAGGGGCTAAATGTAAAGTCTTAAATTGTTAATTAGCGAAGATACCCAAACCTAATCTCATAATACAAACCGGAGTGATATCTAATCATAAATATTAAAATGTCCTATAGTAAATCTATCAGATAGTCTCGAGACTTGCCTTGGGAATAATTTTATGTGAATTATTACTCAGGCTGCAGCTACCTTATTTATTTTAATTTCCATCAGGAATCCAGATTTGAAAAAAATATTTTTAACATAATTCATTAAAGAGTGTTTTTAGATTTTCATTAAATGTCCCTTATCCAATTCTGTGAACATTCACCGAGTAGATGTCTATTAACTTTTGTAGTGTCAATCCCCTTTACAGGTTGAGAGACAAATAGACACTATTTACTCAAATCTAATGTGCACCTTTTTTGGAAAATAAAGATTCCAAAATTTTAATGCGCATTATATTCGATGGCGCATTACATTCAGGGCAAAATTCTAACTTTTACGGCAAATTCACACGGGTGAATTAAAACTGGTGAATTCACCAAGGTGAATTTTGTTCCAGAAGGAGGGCTTAAGAAAGAATAGACTTAACATGTAACACTAAACTTGAAATACCATCAATGTTAGCATGGTATATGGTAATAAACATTTTCATTGTAGCACAATGTTGTATAATAGCATCTTCTTGTAAAAATGTGCAAAAATATTTTTCAGCTTCCAGGTTTCAAAAATTGAGGTGCGCTTTAGATTCGAGCAACTACGGAATTTATATAAATATATTCTCTCTCACATGCATTTTAAATATTTTGTAATTAAGTTTCAACATATTGCACAGTTTTCATATAGTTATAATTACCAATTGCTTTTGCTAGAAAACGAGCACTGTTAAGATTTTTCACTTCTGTCCTCACTCCAAGTGGCTCTCCAGGATGGTGAACTGAAATGTTTGCATCAACTCTCATTTGGCCTTCTAAAATAATAAAATGAAAAGTTAAAGGAACACTACACGGGCAGGAACACAAACATATATTCCTGACCCTATAGTGCAAAACCCACCATTTAGATGGCACCCATGAGTCCTTTTACATGCTTACTTTAGCCTTAAATAAACACTAAAGCATCTGAAATACAAACCTGTATTCCTAACACTTCAGTCTTCGTTCCTGTCCATATCTAGATGGTTGGTTTACTCTGTTACTGCAGTGAAAACACCTCCAGTGGTTGTCACTGTCTCAATCACTGGGAGGTGTGTTTAACCCTGTAATGGAAATATTGCAGTATCTCCAAAACGACAATGTTTTAAATTGTATGGTTAAACCTACAGCACCACTGCACCCATGTCACTTCATTGAGATGGGTGACATTTTGGTACTTTAATATAATCTGTATCGGTCACAAAGAGTTTGAAAATTGTGATGGAATTCCAAGACTTGCATTTAACCACAAAACTGAGATTTTACAACTCAAACTACTACAGCTTGTTTAAGTTACGGTGATCTATTCTTTTAAACTAGTTTCTGAAATTATAATGAACCTAAATCTATCAAAATTGTCCTATAAGCTTTGACATTTATCAGAATATTGCTGTTCCTGAATATTGCTGTCCCTCCACACTTGTGACCACTTACTGACAACCCAGATACTTTTAACAAATCTCCCTAACCCCTCATACCCTACAAACATTTCCTGCACCAGCTGATTAAATTTACAGTCCAGTTTCCTCCTCACCATGTGAGATCTAACAGTGACTACAAAAAAAAAGGAAGAAAGAAAGAAAACAGCCTTACTTAACATTAAAAAAAATTCCATAAAATGCTCCTGAACATCACTAAAGAAAACGAACCTTAGCAGAATATATAATCTATAAACTTTATATAATAAACAAACACTCCCCCCCCCAACTCTATTTCACAAGTCTTTCTTTAACTCCCTTTATATACCATCTGTACTGTAAGGTCACCAAACAGAAAATACAATTCAGTAAGTATGCCAACTTCTTTTCTTCCAGGCCTTTTACTCCTCGACCTGTCGGATGGATGATAGAACCGTATTTCAGTTTTCACTTTTAGACTCCACTGATTCAGAAGTACTTGACAATTATGTCTTTCAAATGATTATCTTATAATCTCCATTTATCGGCACAACCAACTCCTTTTATATTATCATCTTTTACCCTCTATCACCCCCAGTTCTTGGGCCTGTATAGTAAGTTCCTAGCTAGTCTATCTTTTTGTGTCATATGAAAGGAGTCTTGTTTTCTGTATGCCTGCCAGGTCTCTTTTGGTCACCTTTACGGGTAGAACCGGCAATAGGAACAAGTAAGCCTTACTTCAGTAGTGGGGAAAGTGATGAAAACCATGTTAAAGGATAGGATTGATGAACATCTAAAAACACATGGATTTCAAGATCAGAGACAACATGGGTTTACTTCAGGGAGATCATGCCAAACTAATCTTATTGATTTTTTTGATTGGGTAACTAAAATTATAGATCAGGGTGGTGCAGTAGACATTGCTTACCTAGATTTCAGTAAGGCTTTTGACACTGTTGCACATAGAAGGCTTATCAATAAACTGCAATCTTTAAGTTTGGATTCCAATATTGTTGAATGGGTAAGGCAGTGGCTGAGTACAGGCAACAGAGGGTTGTAGTTAATGGAATATATTCGAAGCTTGGACTTGTCACCAGTGGGGTACCTCAGGGATCTGTACTTGGACCCATTCTCTTTAATATTTTTATTAGTGATATTGCAGAAGGTCTTGATGGTAAGGTATGTCTTTTTGCTGATGATACTAAGATATGTAACAGGGTTGATGTTCCAGGAGGGATAAGCCAAATGACAAATGATTTAGGTAAACTAGAAAAATGGTCAGAATTGTGGCAACTGACATTTAATGTGGATAAGTGCAAGATAATGCATCTTGGACGTAAAAACCCAAGGGCAGAGTACAGAATATTTGATAGAGTCCTAACCTCAACATATGAGGAAAGGGATTTAGGGGTGATTATTTCTGATGACTTAAAGGTAGGCAGACAATGTAATAGAGCAGCAGGAAATGCTAGCAGAATGCTTGGTTGTATAGGGAGAGGTATTAGCAGTAGAAAGAGGGAAGTGCTCATGCCATTGTACAGAACACTGGTGAGACCTCACTTGGAGTATTGTACACAGTACTGGAGACCGTATCTTCAGAAGGATATTGATACCTTAGAGAGGGTTCAGAGAAGGGCTACTAAACTAGTTCATGGATTGCGGGATAAAACTTACCAGGAAAGGTTAAAGGATCTTAACATGTATAGCTTGGAGGAAAGACGAGACAGGGGGGATATGATAGAAACATTTAAATATATAAAGGGAATCAACACAGTAAAGGAGGAGACTATATTTAAAAGAAGAAAAACTACCACAACAAGAGGACATAGTCTTAAATTAGAGGGACAAAGGTTTAAAAATAATATCAGGAAGTATTACTTTACTGAGAGGGTAGTGGATGCATGGAATAGCCTTCCAGCTGAAGTGGTAGAGGTTAACACAGTAAAGGAGTTTAAGCATGCGTGGGATAGGCATAAGGCTATCCTAACTATAAGTTAAGACTAGGGACTAATGAAAGTATTTAGAAAATTGGGCAGACTAGATGGGCCGAATGGTTCTTATCTGCCGTCACATTCTATGTTTCTATGAGTCTTAGTAGGACATTCATTTTAATGCAGTGCACCCTTCCTATCCAATAAATTGGTTTATCTTGCTAATTTTCTATTTCTGTTTTTAGAATTTGTAGAAGTGGTCTGTAGTTATTAGAAGTATGGGATTGGCTGGTATTTAAAGGAGTTTGAGAGTTTCAAGCTACACTTTGTTTGGATGCTTGCTAGGTCTGTATTTAACATATAAAAAGGTATGACAGAGGATTTGTCATAATGTATGTTATAGCCTGAGTGTTGCCAGTATGTGGAAAATAATTTCAGAAGGGGAGATAGATAGAGACAGAAGGGTTTTGGAGTAGTCAAAATATCGTCTGCACTTGCAGCCATTTTCTCTCTCTCTCCTCCTATACGGATTACCTGAATGGCGTTGTTTGCACTTATTAGGTGTAGTAGCGGCTCCAACGAGAGGGCGAACAGAACTTGTGATAATGGGCATCCCTGACTGGTATTATTATAGCTTTTAAAGGGTAATACGTGAGCAGTTCGGAGGACCAACTTTGCTTTAAATATAAGGCTCTAATCGTCGTGATGAAAGGTGAGGGGAATCCCCAGAAAGTCAAAAAGGTATGGTCATTTGACCCTATTGAACGCCTTCTCCGCATCCAGTGATGGGAGCAGAGAAGGTGTCTCTGGAACCATCGGCACAAGAAAATACCCATTCCCCCAGTAACCAGACGAAATGTGTTTTTATGCACAGACCACTAAAATGGTGTCTCCCATACAATAATACAGGGCTTTTCCTCCCAGGATCCTCTACAGAAATATATTCAATATTTAAAAACACTCCAAAAATACATTTTCAAAAGTGGCTAATTGGATTGCATGGGAGGTCAGATCTTTCAACCAAAATTCCCCTTTGAAGCAGAGACCCCAACAGAGCCACTCTGCCAGGTGTGAGAAGTCACACACAAGTGGCCTGGAAGTCTAGCTTCAGCACAAAAAACAAAACAAAATTCATTTGCCATATGTCTTGATTGCCTCCTAAGTAGGGAGTCCTTTGATATGTTAATGATCGTCTGCTTTTGAGAAAAAACAAACCTTGCGTTTCAATATCATATCCACAAGAGACACCAAACACCCACAAATAAATCAATACTCAAGCCTAATTTTTGTCATATTTAGAAAGGAACAAGCACAATCTTCCAATCAAGCCCAAACATGATTCGCGAACAAAGGGAGATCCTTCAACCAATACATTGCCTCTTAGATAGGGAGATCCCCAGCATGATGACATGAAAACAATAAGCAGGCAAGTGAGTTGGCCCATGTGGGCATTGTACTCAGTGACGGAGTTCCGTCACAGTCGGCAAGGCATAAATCCCACTTGGTCTGTATGGATTAGGTGTGAGAGTATAGTACTCAGTCGCTTGTCTAAAATTTTTGAGAGTATTTAGTGTTGTGTGGTTCTGGTGACTATAGTGTCCCTTTAATGTAAATTACAGATTAAGGAGACTATAATATACTGGATTGCTTATTTACCACCAGATGAGGACAAGAGGTTGATGATGGGCTCAGGCTGCAGTCTGGCTCCACTGATCAGGTGTAGAACAGGCTCTCTGGAGGCTGTTTGTAACTCTGATCACAAAAATCAACAAACAGGAAGCAGCTCCATTTTTTTGGGGCCCCTTGCACAGCTCAAGGTCTATAGCCCCCAGGGCCTGACCGTGAGTATGCCTACAAGGCCCGCCCATAAGCCCACCTACATGGCCCACCTATGAGCTTGCTCACAGGGAGTGGAGTGTAGGTGTGTAGGGGATATGATATGTGTAATAGTAGAGGATGTAATGTGTGTGTTTTCTTATGGAATTTAGTGTATAGGAATACCAGTTTGTGTTAGGGATGTAGTTTGTGTGTGTGTGTGTGTGTGTGTGTTTGTGTGTAAGGGATGCAAGGTGTGTTTCTGTGTATGTAAGGGATGCAGTGTGTGTGTGTGTCTGTAAAGGGTGAATTGAGTGTGTGCAAGATGCATTGTGTTTCTGTGTGTGTAAGAGAAGCACTTTGTGTGCGTGCATAAGAGATGCATTGTGTGTGCAAGGGCTGCATTGTGGTGTGTGTGTAGTGGATGCAATATGTGTAAGGGAATCATGGTGTGTTTCTCTGTGTGTGTGTATGCGTGGGGATGCATTGTGTGTTTCTGTGTATGTGTAAGGATGCATGGTGTATGTGTGTAGTGTGAAAGAGGGTTTGTGGCCCCTCTGTGTGTGTTTCCCCTCCCACCCCGCGGTCCCTCTATGCGTCTCCCTCCTGAGCCCCTCTGTGTGTCTGTGTCTCCCTCACCACCCCCCCCTTCTTCCCTGGTGGTCTCCCTCACCACCCCCCCCTTCTTCCCTGGTGGTCTCCCTCACCACCCCCCCCTTCTTCCCTGGTGGTCTCCTCACACTTTTACACTTGCTTCCTGGTAGTACTCACACTTTGCTTCTTCCCTGGTTGTCTCACCCTCCCCCCTCCCTTCTTCCTGGCAGTCTCCCTCACCCTCACCTTCCTGGCGGAGTCTCCTCCATCTCCCCCCTTCTTCCCTGGTGGTCTCCTGCCCCCCTTCTTCCCTGGTGGTCTCCTCACCCCTTCTTCCTGGATTGTCTCCCTCACCCCCCAGCCTTCTTCCCCTGGTTGTCTCCCTCACCCCCCTTGCTTCCCTGGTTGTCTCCACACCCCCCCTTCTTCCTGGGGTTGTCTCCCTCCGCCCCCTTCTTCCTGGTGAGGAGGTCTCTCCCTCCTGCTTCCTGGTGGTCTCCCTCACCCCCTTCTTCCTGGTGGTCTCCCTCCTTGCTTATTCCCTGGTAGTCTCCTCCCCTTCTTCTTCCCTGGTCTCCTCCACTTCTTCCTGGTAGTCTCCCTCCCTCACCCTCCTTCTTCCTGGTGAGTCTCCCTCCCCCTTCTTCCTGGTAGTCTCCTCACCCCCCTTCCTTCCCTGGTGGTCTCCCTCACCCCTCCACCCCTTCTTCCTGGTGGTTTCCCTCCCTCACCCCTCCTTGTTCCCTGGTGAGTCTCCCTCACCCTCCCCTTCTTCCCTGGTGGTCTCCCTCACCCCCCTTCCTTCTTCATTGGTGGTCTCCTGCGCCCTCGCTTCCTGGTGAGTGCCTCTTTTGCTTCTTTGGTGATTGCCACCTCACCCCTTCTTCCTAGTGGTCTCCTCACTTCCCTTCTTCCTGGTGGTCTCCCTCACCCCCTTCTTCCCTAGTGGTCTCCCCCCTTCCCTGAAGAAAGTCAGCTGCGTGCAGATCTGGGGTTGGGTCGGTGTGTTGTTCCTCAGACGAGTGATGATGATGAGGATTTCTCTGCCATGCCACATCCTCTAGTAGTAGTTGCTTGAGTTGATTACATGTTTCTCTAAGTTGTTGCTGGATGGCAACTGTTGGGGCCGATTTTTGCAGTGCTTCTAGTTTTCTAAGCGATTTTTGTAGTGCAAATAACTTTTCAGTTTTACGTTTATTTTTATCGGATGCTATTTTAATGAAAGTGCCTTGAAGGACTGCTTTATGTGCTGTGATTTTGTCTACTTTAGGGGTGTTGTTTTCGTGGAAATAATTGGTGATAGCTAAAGATATTTCCTCCCATATGGCCTCATCCCGCAACAGGAGTGAATTTGGTCTCCATGACCACAGGTAAGTGGGTATTAGTCCTTTTACATATAAGGCTATGTCTGCATGATCGGACCAGGTGATATTGTTAATCTCTAAACTGCAGGCGTTAGGCAGGAGGTTTAAGCTGGTAAGGAACAGGTCTATTCTAGAATAAGTATCATGCAGGGCCGAGTAAAAGGTGTAGTCTTGGTCGCCTGGGTGATGTGCTCTCCAGATGTCGACTTATTTATGAATCACAAACTTTTTAAACAGTCTATCCTGACTTCCTCTACCTTGTGATGTAATTCCCCCTGGTTTAGTGCTTCTGTCCACTACCGGGTACAAGACCGCATTGAGGTCCCCACCTATGAGGATTATGTCTGATAATGGAGGGCCTATAATGTCCCCCGATGGTTCTGCAAAACTTAGCATCTAGTACGTTAGGGGTGTAAAGGTTAGGTAAGTGAATGGTCCGAGAACCTATGGTGCCTAAAACCAGAAGATATCGGCCCATCCCATCGGTTAGTTTGTTAGTCACCTGTAATTGACAAGGTTTGTGAAGCAGTACCCCTACTCCATTGTGTTAGCTTACTGCTGACGATGTATATATTCTATCGAAGGGATTGTAAATAGTAACTAGTCAAGAAACAGCATGTCATGTTAAAGGGATAATGTAGTGCCAGGAATAGGAAGCTGTCTTCCTGGCACTACTGATCCCTCTTCCTCTCCCCTCCCGGTAAATAAATGGTTAAAAACCCTTATTTTACTTACCTTATCCCAGCGCTGATGTCCCTCGGCGCTGGGTCGGAGCGCCGCGCCCCTCCTCCGTCCTGCGACGAGCGGGTCTAATGAGCATGCGCGGCAAATGCCACGCGTACATTAGACCTCCCCATAGGAAAGCATTGAATCAATGCTTTCCTATGGGAAAAATAAAATCTGTCGCTGGAAGTCCTCATGCAGAGCAGCGTCAGATAACGGACCAAAAGTCCGATACGAAACCGGAAAGGTAGACAGCCACTGAGGGCAGACTTAGTGCTCTGCAACTACTTAGTGCTCTGGAACTACAATGTTTATCATTGCAGGGCTAAGTGCAAAAGGGACAAAGCACATAAACCCCTTCAATGAGCTGAAGTGGTCTGGGTGCCTACAGTGTTCCTTTAACCATTCTTTGATTTTCTCCTACTATTATAAATCAACGCGTTCTTTTTCCTCTCACTTGTTTTGTTGTAAATGATTGCACACTCTTGTTTCATTAAGAACATGTGTAGCAGTGGATCTAGTCAGAATATAAATCTTTGAAGAAGTTTTTTTATTAACTACAACTGTGGAATGTTGTCTAATTGGAAGATGTGAATATTGTAGCAAAATGTGTGGCTGAAAAAAAAGCATTGGAGAGCCACATTAAAAATGGCATACAGCTAATAATGATATAGGTTAAAGGGCCACAAACTCATTTTCCTGGCACTATGTAGTCCTTACGTCCGTCCCCCCCCCTGCTGGGCTGAAGGGGTTAAAACCTTTATCCAGCGCCAGGCTCCCTCAGCGCCTCTCCTCCCCCTCCGACGTCATCCCCAAAGTGGAGCCGAATTGCGCATGCGCAGCCAGAGCCGCGCGTACATTAAAAACACCCATAGGAAAGCACTACTCAATGCTTTCCTATGGACGTCAGCGTCTTCTCACTGTGATTTTCACAGTGAGAATCACAGAAGCGGCCTCTAGTGGCTGTCAGTGAGACAGCCACTAGAGGTTGGATTAAATCTGCAGTGTAACCATAGCAGTTTCTAGAGGGACCAGGCACTCAGACCACTTCATTGAGCTGAAGTGATCTGGGTGCCTATAGTGGTCCTTTAAACAGGTGAGCTTAAGACTTTAATTTGAAAACAATTCATCCACAAGTAAACTGCCTTTGAATATCATTTTAAGATTTCAAAACCCAACAAGAAGCAAAACACTTTTACAACTCACGTTTATTCTATAACTACGCTTTGTGTTTTTCATTTTGAGAATGATCTTTTTAAGCAAGCCACTGGATGAATAATGTGGTGCAGATAAGGAAAATGTTCTTTTGACATGATGGGAGTTCATTTTCTGCAGTTTTGTGTTGAGAATTTAGAACTTACATCTCTGTAATTTTTTAAGCATTAATAGAAATATTATCTGAATTTGCAGATACTTATTTTCTCAGTAATGAGCACTTCACGCTTTACCGACAAAGCCACTTTATTATGTACAAAGCTCTAAGCACTATGTAAAAAACATTTTAAAGTGTATCTCTACCATTGCCATGTAAACAAAAACACTTTCAACTGTTTCAAACCGTGCTTTGTGTTGAAGAAGAGCTCTGCTTAAAAGGCTATGTAAAGCGTAATATTGAAGGATCAAGCTAAGCAGCATATCCACAACATCAGAATGTAGTGGCCACGGTGCTATTAGGTTGTGGGTGCAGCTCCCCGCATCTGGGTCCTCACTTTCATTTGGTTTTAACAAATCCAGTGGCCCTAAACCTGCTCTCCATACAGCTAATTCAAAATGTAATTTCTTACAATTTCATTCATATCCGGATATCACTAATTGACTGAGTGGCAGATGCCCTAAGCCTATCAATGACATTTAAATATGCAATATATTGAATTTCCTATGCAGAAGTGGGTTAAAAAAGAAAGACTCAAATTGTTCAACATGACAACAAATAGAGCTGAGGAACCTTAGACACTAATGCGCTAAAATGTAAAGTGGCTATTGGATGCTTGCAAAACGAATTTTAGGGGAGGAACACAATTAAATTAGAAATAATTAGTCAGGTAAGCCATTCAACTAAAGAAATACACTATATACATTTTCCTTTAATCTACGAATTATTGATTGAGCTTTTTACCTGCCATGTTTGCAAGGCTTGTTCCAAGTGCCTGCAAGATAAGTTGTAGTTCCCTCACTGCTGCAGCAGCCTCTTCCCCACAGCTCATGTCTGGCTCCATGACAATCTCCATGAGACCAACTCCTATCAAGAAATAAAAGGTTACCAAAAACCATAAAAGAGAAGTGCAAATTTACAAAAAAGTGTTATTTTGGTATTGTTTAATATTTCTTTATTAAGGAAACAAAATCACAGTTGTAGCCATAACATAAAAAAAATGTTACAAATAGATACTCTTAAACATGTTGCTTGTGTGCTTTCAATGTGATTTAGTAAAGTTAGAGCAACAAAAATAAAAGATAAAAGAATAGATATCAAATTCATATAACCCTATGCACCATAAAAATCCTCATCGTGTCAGTTCTGACATAAAAAGACATGCAATTCTAGAGTGCAATGTAGGACAAGGTTAAAACACGCTTTTTCTGACAGCATCCTAAGTAATAATAACAATAATTAAAAGTATTTTACAGTGCTCTCGCTGCATCGCTTTTGTTTTTCAATTTCCAGTAACACTTTTGACGTTAAAATTGTCAGAGAAACGGCAGTGTGTTAAGACATCTTACATCTCTCTCTAGGATCAGCTTGTGGTCAGTACACTCCTGTCATTTTCCTCTATGCTACAGTATAAAGGTGACAGAAAGATGAACCAGAGAAGGATGGTATGAAATTTACCTCAAAGAAAATTGAAGAAAAAAAAAAAACCAAAAAAAAAAAAAAACCTGACTTTGGACAGATACTGCTCTGTCGTGTAGCCTATGGAGCATGCATGCAGCTGCTCACTGGACCACACATACATTCTGTACGGGCATATGCCAAGTTACTTCAGATTATCGCTTTCAAGCACCATACCCTCACTAATTCTTCTGTCTGGCAGAGCTTTAGCTAGATTTTAACATCACAGCGAACAAGGGCACCAAAAAAGAAGCCATCTCATATACCAAACTATATGTAACAATGTCAGCACAGAAGTACTTAAACAGGAGCTGGTTCTAGAGGCAGATCAAAATAGGGAGCCCACTGCTGGATATTATTTATCCTCTTCTAATCCTTGTGCTTTTTTTGACCCTCCACTACACTGGTGCCTTTTTCCGCTCAAAATGTATGCATTCCACATCTCTTGTGCCTTATACTTCACTTTGTTGATATGTTGTTGTTTTTTATGCTGTCCTTTGTATTTTGTCGTGCTCCTCTCCATACTGGGATCTTGACGAATATTCTTATGGAACCTTTGAAGTCTGCCATCTCCTTGTTATCACTGGTGCTCTTTGCTGGATAATTCTGCTTCCCTACTATGCCCCTAACTTCTGTGCTTTCTACCAAATTGCCAGGAGTGGGCTACAATTCTGCTTTCATTAATTTGATGATTGTCATCAAAATTAGTGATTTACAACACAGATTTTTATATTCACTAGCAGCTTATGAACATCTAATTTATTCTACGTCTTACCAAAATTAAATGCATAATTCTATCTAAAACGATCTATTAGTTTTAATTAATTGCCAGATGGGAATTTCAATTTTAATGCAGACATCTACTGAAAAACAGATTTTAGAAACTGCATTAATTATGAGATTTACTGTAATCTGGTGGTTTTCCACAATTATTGGATCGGTGAATAAACCTCAGTTATGTGATGCCAGAAAGAATGTTTTAACAGTACAGGACAAGGTGCTACATGTAAAACTGCTACAGATGGACAGTTCTGAACAAATTCATCAGCTCACTAACATGACAACAGTAAGAAAGAATATTTTAACGTGAAAAAAACAAACAAACCGAAAATCAAAAAAACAAAATAAAGATAAAAAATTGTGGATAAAAATCTGCCGCTACGCATAAAAAACAACCTGCTGCAATAAATGATGATTAAACTGTGAATCAAAATATAAACAAAAGTACAGGTAGTGTTACAATTACATAAATATCACAATTTATCAATTAAAAAAAATGACATAAAAAAGTGGAAAATTCCCACTAATGAAATATATATCTGGGCATAAATGAATACTTAATTAGGTATCACTTATAAGAGATACTTAAAGGGGACACTCCAGGCACGAAAACAACTTCATGAAGTTGTCATGGTGCCAGGAGGCTCCTAGATGCACTCTTACCTCAAAGTTGCCTCCAGCGGTGATGTTCACTGCCCTGCAGGCGGCATCCGGCTTCTGAATTTTTAGCGCGGAGTGCTGCCGGCAGGGGCGCTGCTGACTGGCTGAAAGTGGTCAGATGACGTTCTCAATCAATCAGTAATTCCCCACTCACTAAACTGGCTTTGAAAGAAACTTACCTTTTCCAAGCCAGTTTAGTTGCTAGGGAGTCACTGATTGGCTGAGAGCGTCAATTGGCCGCTCTCAACCAACCAGCGGCACCGGTCTGCATTTCCTGCATCTGAAAATTCAGAAGCCGGATGCAATCGGGGTCAGATTAAGCCCTTGAGGTAAGCGTGCCACTGGTAAGATTAAGCTGTTTTGATGCCTAGAGTGTACCTTTAAAATTTATATAAAACAGTTCAAGCAAACCACTGCAGTTAAAGGACCACTATAGTGCCAGGAAAACATACTCGTTTTCCTGGCACTATAGTGTCCTGAGGGTGCCCCCGCCCGGCTCTGGAAAGAGGAAAGGGGTTAAAACTTACCTTTTTCCAGCGCTGGGCGGGGAGCTCTCCTCCTCTTCTCCTCCCCGTCTGCTGAATGCGCACGTGCGGCAAGAGCTGCGCGCGCATCCAGCCGGTCGCATAGGAAAGCATTCACAATGCTTTCCTATGGACGCTGGCGTGCTCTCACTGTGAAAATCACAGTGAGAAGCACGCAAGCGCCTCTAGTGGCTGTCAATGAGACAGCCGCTAGAGGAAATAGGGGAAGGCTTAACCTATTCATAAACATAGCAGTTTCTCTGAAACTGCTATGTTTATGAAAAAATGGGTTAACCCTAGCTGGACCTGGCACCCAGACCACTTCATTAAGCTGAAGTGGTCTGGGTGCCTAGAGTGGTCCTTTAAAGTCCCTAATACGCATCCGCCTGTCGTTCTGAGTGTTATGCACAGGCAGAACGTCAGAGAATGACAGTGTGGAAGCAACCTGCCGTATATCATTGGCAAAAACACTAAAAACTTCCTTAAAGATCATTGTACATGCATTGTATCAAGTGTGATAAAAAAAAAAAAATATACAAGCAATGACAGTAGAATATTGTAGGCAGGAATTAGATGCATAAATCACCGAGCTGAGAGTCCATGGATCCATGCCAGATCAAACTGCTGGGACCTTGGCTGAGTAATGGCATAGTTGTAACCAAGTAAGCTGCCTGCTAGTATTTGCCTTAGGTAAAGTGCGTATAACGTTCACGTATAAAGGCTACTCTGTTAATTGCGGATGATGAGAGTTTAACAGACTGACACCGGCAAGCTGTGTTTGATTGTAGTACATACAAAAACCGGATCTGGTCAGTACTAGAATTGTTGTTTCCTGAGCTTTCTTATCAAAGCATTTCGTCCCATGGGACAGAATTTACTTTATTTTAATATTTGGTAACAGGGGTTGTCAACCTGTGGTACTCATAAACCTGGCAATGGCGTCTGTGCAACCGCCCCACGCTTGCTGGGGACTGCAAGGTGAGTGGGTCCATCGAGTGGCCCATACACTCAGGGTCACCTGATGGACATGTGCTGCAACGATTTAATAGCGCGAGCATGCCCTTTCTAACCTGACCAGAGTGCTGGGAGGAAGTGAGAGTGAGACACATACTTCCTCCCAGCTGTTACATACCAAGCCACGCTGGAGTGGCTCGCAAAGGGGTGCAGGGCGGACTGAAAGAGAAGATAGCCCACAATTCCCAACATCTGTGTGTGGGTCAGTCTATGTATCTGTTTGTGTGTGTGTGTGTGTGTATGTCTGTATGTGTGCATTTGACAGTGTGTGTATTTGTATGTCTGTATCTGTGTGCATCTGTTTGTGAGAGTCAGTATGTGCATCTGTTTGTGAGAGTCAGTATGTGCATCTGTTTGTGTGGGTCAGTATGTGCATCTGTTTGTGTGGGTCAGTATGTGCATCTGTTTGTGTGGGTCAGTATGTGCGCATCTATATTTCTGTGTATGTATGTGTGTGTGTATCTTCATGTGTGGCAGTGTTTGTATCTGTGTAACTGTCAGGGCCAGTGTCAGGCGGAACTTTGACAGTGGCTGCATTTTGCCAACCCTGTCACCAATTAGCTTGTCCGCCGGGAAGGGCTGGGAGGCCACTCTAAAAAAATAAATTAAAAATCATAGGAATTTGGAGAGGGAGGCTGGGCTGATCTGGGGCTTGTCGGATCCTCAGGGATTTGACATGTCTCCCATTGAAGTTTTGGCACCCTGAGATTACTAGCCGTGAATGCCAGAACTTCAATAGGAACTTTACTTACAGCAATTTACAAGGAGGGCTGTTACTTTGGGCTGGCCCCCAGGAGCGTCAGAATTCCCCTTTGTGTCTCGCTATGTGTGCTGTAACGGCCACATAGTCAGCACAGGCGGCGGGACATGCAGGAGTCAGACAGAACCAGCAATGGTGAAGACAGCGTAGTGGAGTCGCAAGGAGTCAATTCAAGCTCCACTTCACCGCAGATACAGAAAGGGTAAGTAATTATAAGCTTCAATGCACACAGTGTGCTGGTCATAGGAATTCCAATCCCAGCTCACACACCACACACACACAGACGCATTACATCCCCAGCGCGCGCACACTACAGCCCCAGCTCACGCACACACACAGACACACTGCATCCCCAGCGCGCGCGCACACAGACACACTGCATCCCCAGCATGCGCGCACACAGACACACTACATCCCCAGCGCGCGCGCACACAGACACACTACATCCCCAGCACGCGCGCACACAGACACACTACATCCCCAGCACGCGCGCACACAGACACACTACATCCCCAGCACGCGCGCACACAGACACACTACATCCCCAGCACGCGCGCACACAGACACACTGCATCCCCACATCACAAATTAACTTACTGTGTATATGCATGTGTGGCAGTGTTTTTCTGTATCTGTCAGGGCCAGTGGGGCCATGGCTCCAGGCAGCACTTTGACACGGGCGGCATTTTGCCAACCCTGTCAAAGTGCAAGGAAAGCCCAGTCTTCACCAACCAGCTTGTCTGCCGGGTAGGGCTGGGAGGCTGCTCAAAATAAATAAATAAATAAATCATAGCAAGACAATCCATGCTGTCTTAAGGGCTTTAATGCCAACTATTTTCAGGACGCAATGGAAAGATCCAACTTTAAGTGGTTAAAGCGGCCCTTTAAAATAGGGACTACTACGTTATGCATTTTTTCTACTCTCTGACTTAAGCTCCTCCTTGGGTCAAAGAAAGTCAAGCCTAGGAAAAATACATAAAACAAGGTAGTCCCTACTTTGTCTTTTGTTTTAAATAAAACAAGATCAAAAATAAAGAAAAGAAGAACAGATTCTGAGAGAGGAAGAGAAAACAATAGGAGAAAGGTAAGTTTGGTGTGACAATGCCACTTTAAGCTCATTTTTACATATTGCAATATGCAAACAAACATAACTGCTACTAACCTGCTCTGTTCAAATCAATGAGGGTCTGACGCCTTAAATCATCGTGTAGACTCTTTCCACTATCCTGTTCCAACTGGACTTGTTTGATTCTGACACATTTTGTAACCATCTCATTCCATTTTGTTCCCACTTGATGACGATATGTCAAATTTCCATTAACAGCAATTGGAAGCCTCTGCTGTGTAATTTGATAACCAGCCTGCAAAATATGTTGGTGGCATGTATTATTTATTTCAAAGTATATAATTACAGTCATCAATTTACCAATTAATCTGATAACTGGAGGAATTTCTTACAATAATTTGCTTTCTTTTTTCTTCTTCTGGGAAGAGATTCGGGATGCAAGATAAGAAATAAAATATTAGCTTTGATATGGTACTAATTATCAATATGGCAAAAAAAAAACATTTAGCCAAGATGTATGCATGTATTTCAGTCTCTGTTGAAGGGACACTATAGGCACTTCATCTCATTGAAGTGGTCCGGGTGCAGTGTCCCTGTTCTGTTAAACTTACAATGTTTAGCAGTGCAGTTTTAGAAAACCTGCAATGTTTACATTAAAGTGTTAAGACTGCCTCTAGTGGTTGTCTTTCAGACAGCCACTAGGAACACTTCCTTGGTTTACATGAAGTTCAACTCAATGAAACAATGCTGGACGTCCTCACGCACTGAATAAGGATGCCCAACGTCTTCAAAATACCTATGAGAACGGTCTCCTATGGGAGAGACTTAATATATGTGGTGCTTACACCCCCTCTCACTCTTTTTTCCCCCCAAGAATATAAATAGTCTGCATTGGAACAGGTTGTTGAGCCAAGGATAAATCAGTATACATTTAAAAAGAGAGCAAAAGGAAAACATATATACACAATATATAGAAATGTATACATATCTCCAATACTTTTAAATGACATAAAACATAAAATAAGACCTGAACATTAATGTAAAGACTTACAATAAAAACTGTTGAGTATACGCTATAAAAAGGGAGAGAAAGGGATATTCACACTGAAGTTCTCAATCCCAAGTGTGCACACTAACTCCCAAAAGAGAGAAAAAAAATAAAATCAAAGTCAAATCTGAGCTGGATAGTTCGGGCTTGTTCCCGAGTAGGTCTGCCGGTCTATTGGGGTAGAGATGTCATAAGCGCTACTGAATCTGTTGGCGCTATATAAATGGCAATAATAATAATAATAAGCATGTTGATTTTAATCTTGTGATCCAAGTTGGTGAACAGATGGTAAGCATGAGATATATCGGGTCCATGAGCTCTGAGGAAAACCTTCCTCCACCTTTGCGTCTCTCCGGTGAGGCATGCCAAAAGTGCCAGAGTGTAAATACCGTGGGCTCCCAGGGTACACAACTCATAGATACTTATCGATATTCACTAAATCCTACGCGTTTTGTGAGTCTTGCGCTCATTTCCTCAGGGAATGATAGTGAATATGGAACAGATTTTTTTTTATAGATCCAGCCTCTGATTGTAGATTCCGCCTGTGGAATATCTTGTGATTGATGTATAGTCCTTAATATGCATATTGAACACAATGGGTTATGCAAATAAATGTTTATCATCGTCCTAAACATATTATATTCAAAAAATTAGGGGGGAAAAAAGCAATAATGCACTATACAAATTTTAACACCATATTTGTTTTGGCACATTTCCAATTGTAATTATATGCACTTCACAGACTGGTTGATACTTTGTATCTGTTTCTTCTTATTATTTTATTATTTATATAGCGCCATCAGATTTCTTACAACCGCTCTAAAGATATTTGGTGAGGAAAGAGATATTTCAGAAATACTCTTATTATAAAGAATACATAATAGAGTGCAAGAAAAAATTAGGATACTTAAAAAAAAAAAAAATGAATAAATACAATATGGAAGTAAAAATAAAGATGAAATTAAAAAATACAATAGATATGGCAGAGAATATAAAATAAATAATAAACAAATGGATATTTAAAAATGAATATAAAAAAAATATATATCTGTATATATAAAAAGAGTAATACAAATATATCAGAAAGTTCAAAAGGATAAAACTGATGCCACTGCATTTACATGTTTATTAGAGATATGTGATTTGTGGAACCTAATGTATATGTTGCTGCATTTATTAATGATTTGTGATTTTGGAACACAAAATTTGTTGAACCAAGGAGAACTTGATCTCTCTGATATCCATGAAGTAAGAAAGGAATTTTCCCTATCTTGTGGAACAATTGGCCATCTTGTCAAACTGGATTTTTCCCCTTCTTTTGGATCAACAGTATAAAAATATGCATTATAGGTTGAACTAAATGGACTTGAATCTTTCTTTTTTTATTTTTATTTTTTTATGAATATTAGTATATTTTGAGGGATTTACTTTCATCTCTCCTGCTTGTGAAATCTGGGATTAAATATTCATTCAGATAATTTTCTAGATTCAACAAAGCTGACAGAAAAATCTATAGAAAGGTGAATTTTAGAGTTTCTTGGGAGTGGACATTTTAGAAACATTGGTTTTAATGATATCAAACTTCTATCAGAGTTAAGAAATCTGTATTATTTATATTCCCATGGACAGCTTTCTTCCCCACAATTACATTTTGTCTTTACACATTATTTTGTTCCGTTTGCAAATACACAATCATTACCCTGATAAGTTCCTCACTTCTTACTAGAGTATAAAAATGCTACATGTGCTTGTTTTCTAAATTGGAGACAGAATCACTAGATTTAAAAAGGCTTTTATGTATTGCATTTAACTGAATGCTGAAATTCTATAGTAAGACATATCACTAACTGTTCATATTAAAGGTTTACTGCATAATATATAAGCACATTAGAGAAATGCATTAATAGTATTTCTCAGAAATACTATGCAGAAAAATTGGAAATAAAATGTGAAGTAGTCACTTTAAGCTGTCCACTAGATTTACTTTTCAGTGGTTACCTGGGTCAACAACAGGAGAAGAGAGACGTGCCTTAACATGTTTTCCAATATATTCAGTGATCAGTGGAAGTATTTACCTTAAACTTATACACAGATTATAGTCTAAAGCATTAAATTTAAGTGCTGTTTTTCTTCTTCTGATTTTCTATTCCATTATGAACAAGAGTCATTGAGAAAATTAACAGGCAGTTTCATCTGAAAAACATTGATACCTTTTGTGTGAATGGACTAAAACTACCAGATATGCAATTATGATTGTAATTGTTTAGGAATACATATATCATTTAAACTGGCTATCAGGCAGTGCATTAAATTAGTCTCTAACAATATATAAAATGCATAGCTTCCAAAAGTAAAATTAGTTTACCCTGGCTGGTGTCTTAAATGCTTCTGAAATTAACTAGTTCCATTCTGAGCACAGAAATACCACATCAGAAGTGCTGTGAAATACATTTGTTAGTGCAAAAAATTACAGTAATTATTTTTAATTATTTGAGAAATTACACACTTATATGCACTATGGAATTTTACTGCTTTGCTTATTTTATAGTTTCACCCATCTGCCTTCTTGTATATTGACTCAACAGTTTAGCATTATGAAAGTTTTTTGGTTTTTAATGCATGAAGACTACAAATCAGTTCTTGACAATTTCTTATAGAACCTACGAACCGAAAGGAAAACTAAGAGGCAATATTTTTTTTTTTTTTTGACAAAACGGCTCTGATGGTCAAGGCATGGATTTTCTACAAGACTACTGAACGTGTCTTGTGGTATCCGGCACCAAGATATTAGCAGCAGATCCTTTAAATTGGCAGAATCCCGATAATTTTTTTTACCCCCCCCTCCCAACTCCACTACATCTAATTGTCCTCCTAGTCACCCCCAAATGCCCCTAAGCATTTAGCTAGTTTTTAAAATGTTATTTTCTGCCCTAGGTCCTGGGCGCCGCCATCTTTGTGTGGGTAGATTAAGTCCCTGTGGGACAAGTCGTCTGCCAACACAATTCCCGCGCATGCCAAGTTCGGCATTCGGACGGGAATTTCGACTATTCATTATTTGTCAGAAAGACGAATGAATGAACAGAAAAGTCAGATGAACATACAAACAAACACCGAATATCGATGTTCATTTGTTCCGTTTATTACAAGGAGGGAGCTACCGGCTCGCAGCTCCCTCCATTTAAAATATAAAAATAGAAGCGGCAGGGAGTAGTGCTCCCTGCCACTTCCTAAGCCCCTCATGTCCACCCTCACTCCATGGGGGTCAATATGACCCCCATAATAACATAAGAGATTGAAATGCTGCGAGTAGAGGCATGTCTTCTAAACAGTGCTCACTGTTGTAAAAAAACAGAGGATTTTGGACCACTGAGCAACAGACCAGGTCTGTTTTTCTTTAGCCCGGGTAAGACACTTCTGACGTAGTTTGTTGTTCAGGAGCGGCTTGACAAGAGGAATATGACATCTGAAGCCCATGTCCAGGATCCGTCTGTGTGTGGTGGCTCTTGATGCACTGAACCCATCCTCAGTCCACGCCTTGCAAAAGTCCCCAACACTTTTGAAAGGCCTTTTCCTGACAATCTTCTCCAGGCTGCGGTCATCCCTGCTGCTTGTGCACCTTTTTTCCACACTTACCTTCCACATAACTTTCTATTAATGTGCTTTGATACAGCACTTTGGGAACATCCAACTTCCTTCGCAATTACCTTTTGAGGCTTTCCCTCCTTATGGAGGGTGTCAATGGTAATTTTCTACACAACTGTCAGGTCAGCAGTCTTCCCCATGATTGTGATTCCTACTGAACCAGACAGAGACCATTTAAAGGCTCAGAAATGCACGTGTTATGGCTTACTTAGCGGATTAGAGTGGGGCACTGTGAGCCTAGAATATTTACTGAGATTGTGGATTTGGGGTTTTCATGAGCTGTAAGCCATAATCATCACACTTATGACAAATCATGGCTTGAACTATCTTGCTTTGCATGTAATGCATCTATCTCAATAGTTTCCCCTTTTACGTTGTATTACTGAAATAAATGAACTTTTGCACGATATTCTAATTTTTTGAGTATCACCTGTATTTATGCAACAGTACATTTTATAGCACTATAAAAAAAAAACCTACACATTTGTGATTGACTGAAAGAGACAAAGTCGCAGACCCCCAATATGCAAGGACGTATTGTCTCAATCTAGTTAATGACAGTAACTTAATTTACTGTTAGAGAATGAGACACTCTTGATTGGTGAAGCCTCTTCCTCAAAAGGGCTCATTGATGTTGCTGTTTTCCTGAGAGTTTGCAGAGGGTAAATAGATTATTTTACATTTGATTTTCACATATTAATTTTATCTTCATAATGCAATAAAACTGGTGTGATTTCTAGCATGGAGTGTCTCTTCTAAAAGCCACATGTAATCTATTTATAATATTTTGCTAATTGAACAGCAAATTTCATTGAACTAAAATCTGAATTGCAAAATTTAAGTCAAAACAGCCAAGCTAGAAAATCAGCACAACAGGTTTTTGTTTTTTTTCCCAAAAACAGCTATTTTGGCCTAAATTTTGCAATTTGGTTCACAGTTAACTTTCATGAATAAGCCCTACATTGTTATCTTAAATGTATTTGGTATTAGCCACCATATAATATACATCAAGTCATTTAAAACCAGAGGATGCTTATGTATGTGCAATTAGTCCTTCGTGTTGCTTAATGAGAAAGAGCAATGCAGTGGCCAATCCGGAAATAAACAGAGTACAAGAGGCAATTGATGGAAGATCTTTATTAGTGCAGAAGGTACATTTGTATAATGAACTATACAATTTTAAGATTCAAGAAATTAAAATGCATAAAAATATGTATTAAAAAATGATATATAATATATTTATATTAATGAGAGAGAGATACATTTCACACCTACCTTGTTCCTTTTATTGTTAACAAGTTCACTTTTATGTTGCATACGTCAAATCAATACATTGTGTCGACTAACAAAATCTAGCAAATGTATAGATTAAAAGACATACAAGCATTAAGACTGATCCTATCACAGTCACCTTACATTGTGCTCCCACGCTGCGTCTTACTCTCTGCATGGAGGTGCCATGTTGGAGCGCGTCCTCCAGCACCACCGCTGACTGCCCGCAGTCCTCCAGGGACAAGCGGTGCCGCATCACAGAAGTGGCAGCGTAGATTAGAGTCAGCCCTCTCCACTCCCACATGACAGAGAGGCAGAGCGAGGGCCCTATGAGGCACACATGCCAAAGCAACGCTTGAAGTGACAGAAGGTGGAATTGAGATTAAGGAGGCTGAGATTAAGTGGGCATACCTCTTTTTCCTATTTAAAACTGCACTACTCCTGTTGTTTTCCTGGAATTTGATCTTTGCCAGTTTTCCGACTACAATCCTGTGCCACCTGTGCTAACATTTTGGCTTTCCTTACTATTCTTCGTCTGACTATTGTACTGCAAAGCTGATTTTGTACTTACAGCCTTTTCTGCATCGTGGGCTTCATCTACTAAACATCGCCCCTAACACTTCCTATACTTCCAGGACAGTGTGCACATCCACCCAGTGGACTCCATAATTGTTCTTTGAGACATATGACTTTTCTAATCTAGTGTAAAATTATAGCCCATATTAAGCTTTGTTTTACAAATTCCCTTGTACCAAAGCCAAATTGTTTTGTTCACACAGAGCATGCAGCAATCAATGTTCTTATTAATGGGACTGTAATGCTAACTACATGACTGATAGGATAGAATCCTATAATCAATATGCCATTTTGTGAAACACTCCACAGCCCAATTTTTTATGCTTTTATTTTTTGGGGATATATCTTAAAAGATCTTGCAAAGGCTGCAGATCATGAAACGAAGCCTTAGCAAGCCATTTTACCCAGAAGATTTTCACAGCCTCTGAATTTGAATTCGCGCATACCTGGAGCTGAGGTCTGGAGAAGCTGGTTGGTCTGTGTAGGAGGAGGCAGGCACACTCATAAAAAGCATGACTGCCACTTCCGTTAGCTCCTGGGAGGAGGCTACAAATCTCTCTGGCTGTTTGACAGCTGGGGGGTGGGTGGTATGTTCCATAGTTAATTTATAAAAACATAGATTTATGATAGAAATCAACACTTTTAGAAACATGGGGGGTTAAACTAGGATACTCCTCACCAATAAAGCACTTACACAAGCTGCAGTGCTTTTGGGGTGTGAAGTGGTCCTTTAAAAAATATTATCCATATAAGATAGATATTATACATATAAAACATTTATAACCTTTTGTCTAAATCTGATTTTAACATATGTTTCCTTTAGAATATTAATACTTTAGCAAAAAGGTCAGAGAGTTGTGGTTTGGCAAGCTACTTATTTGTAATTTTGCCAAATTTAGGCAATGAACTATCAACAAACCATTTCTTGAGACTAGGAGTAACATTTGACAGCTGTCAAAAACAACTGCTGGTTCTGTGATAATTCTGTGACATGATCAGATACCTATATAATCTTATAAGTAATAACAAAAAACCTGAAATTGATTTGGTCCTTGCAGAGGTATTGTGTTGGGAGTCAGTTCACTAGGCCTGTAGAAGTGATGTGCCGAATGGGACTACAGCCATTAGGATCCCCAGGGGAAAGAAAAATAGCACTAACAATGACCTTAGTAATTTGTTTAGATTGCGTTTGTTCTCATTAATAAGATGGCTCTTATACAAGGAACCATCAAATTAAATAATAATGTGACTAATCTACAGTGATCATGCAATATGCAGAAATTGACAAACTTTAGATTACTTTATTTATTGGCTGGATAGAGAAGTTGAACTGCCTTAGACCAGACTTAAATCCTACACAGACCACCTTACCAGTAAGTGTCCTTGGACACGACACCCAACGATATATAGCTGCCTACCTCATTAAATGCCTTTTTATACCTTACGAATTGTGTAAATGTAATAGTAAAGTGTATTATAGAAACTGTAATGCTATTTGAAATGTAGATTTAGATAGACAAAATCTGTGTGTTTAATATTTCTTTTTAGTTTCATGCACTTTACCTGAATGTCTGTGTTCTCAAAATAGACAGGTTCCGTTTTCTAACATAACCCTGGTCTGTTCATTTTAATTTGATAGTGTCACAAAGATTTCTGGTTCAATTTAAAAACACTAATTAGAATACTTACCTATTTTCCTTTTTTTTTCCCATAAAGGCACTTTTTGGAAACTTGATTCGTTCCTAGTAAGAATAGTGGCCGTTTTAAACAGTATCAAATTAAAATGAACAGACCAGGGTTATGTTAGAAAACGGAACCTGTCTATTTTGAGAACACAGACATTCAGGTAAAGTGCATGAAACTAAAAAGAAATATTAAACACACAGATTTTGTCTATCTAAATCTACATTTCAAATAGCATTACAGTTTCTATAATACACTTTACTATTACATTTACACAATTCGTAAGGTATAAAAAGGCATTTAATGATACACAAAATATATATATATATATATATATATATATATACACATACATATATATATATATATATACACATATATATACATATATATACATATATATATATACACACATATACACACATACATACATACATATACACACACACACACACACACACACACACACACCAGCTCAACACGTAAGCCCAGTGGAATAAACTACAAAGAGTGGACCTAGTGGAGCGCTAAAATAATGTATTTCCAAATAAGTGTTTACCCTCCTAAATACAGAAGGAGGTATAGTGGAACAAGGGTATCTAAAAGAGAAAAAGTGGCAAAACAATGTAGTATGTCAACACTGACAAAGTGACATATATATGTACCACACTTTCTCTTTTGTTTAAGAACCTGTGAATCAAGATTTGGAACAGGTCCTGGTATTACCCAATATACCCCTGCAAATTAAATTTGAGCCTATCCTTTTAGGGATCTACATCATGTGAGTGTAGTCCATATATATGCACATGTCACTTTGTTAGTGTTGACATTCTACACCATTGTTTTGCCAAGTTTTCTCTTTTAGATACCCTTGTTCCAATATACCTCATCCCTTATATTTAGGAGGGTAAATGCTTATTTGGAAAAAAAAAAATTTTTGCGCTCCACAGGGTCCACTCTTTGTAGTTTATTCCACAGGGTTCACTTTATCTTTACAATCTAAGATTAGTGATTAAGACAAACATGCAAAGTGTTTGCATCAAAGTATATTCAATGCCAAATATTACAATCCTTCAAATGTTTGTTCAAAAGCCAATATTGGACAGGTCATACTTCTACCTCTCTATAACCTCTCTATAACTGCACATATTCTAGGCAATGAGAGAATAAAATTATTATTAGTAAATATTTTATAGTGCATTTCTATTCTGAATTTTTTTTTAATTATACAGTGGGCAAAAACAACATCAAATAAACAAAATAATATCAAGAGATACAAGAGCCCTGCTCAAACACACTTACAAATGGAAGTAGAAGGGTTATTTATAAAATTGCAAATATTGTTTTCCTTAAGGAGGAAATCCAGGCACCAATACAACAACATCCCAGGCAGTCCCCCTGCAGCTAATCCGGCCGTCCTGGGCCATGTACAATATAGGGGGTATATATATTTATATTTATATTTTCACAAGCACTGACCAAAACTCTAATTTTGGAGTGGCTACTAAAAAAGACTGGACATACCCCATTTGTGATACTTTGTGTTGTCTACTTTTGCAAATGTATGCTATCATGGGGGTAATTTTCATTCCTGGGATACCATACGGTCTCAAAGGCAACATAACCAGGACAACACATTTTTAATGTGTATAAACTGAAAAATGTAACGTGCTATATTTGACCCTGTAACTTTCCAAAACACCACAAAAACTGTAAATGAGGGGTATGGTTTTACTCGTGAGACATCACTGAATACAAATATGTGAATTATATTGCAGAAACAGTATTATGACATTCACAGTTAAAATGCCGTGCAGAACTGAAAAAAATATATATAATTTCTCACTTTTTAAAATATTGTATTCATATTAAATTAGGTTTCTTACATAGTTATTTGATGTGACATGAAAAGCCCTGTTTCTCCTGAACAAAATGATATCTAGTAAGTGGGTGCATTTAATATGAAAGAGGTGAATTATGGTTGAACATACATACATACATATATGTATATGTATGTTCAAAATATATATAGAGAGCAAATTCAAGGTTTTGTTTACGTTTTAATCTGAACTTGTAGGACTGCCTCAGTCCTTAAGGGGTTAAATTATTTTTGGCATTCTCAATTTAGTACAGATTTTGCTAAATTAAATATAAATCTTCTTAACCCTGCTTATGCATGTTTTCTCCCCATTTAATAATACTTCATTCAAGTTGGTTATTCTACATTGGAAAATTAATTCTGCTAATGTTTATTACATAACAGTTACCGTATTTATCGGCGTATAACACGCACTTTTTCTCCCTGAAAATAGGGAGCAAATTGTGGGTGCGTGTTATACGCCGGCCCTTTAAATACTGCAGCCGCCTGAGCGCTCTGTCAAGAGGGGAGGGGGGAAAATAAGAAACAGGAACAAGAGAGGGGCAAGAAAGGAGGGGGGAGGGGGTAAATAGAGGGGGATTTAAGAAGAGGGGGTAAGAAGAGGGGGGTAAGAAGAGGGGGTAAGAAGAGGGGTGTAAGAAGAGGGTGCAGGGGGGTAAGAGGGCAAGCTAGAGGTGGGGGAGCCAGGGGGGGGAGGGAGCCTAGGGGAGGGAGCTAGGGGAGGGGAGGGAGGGAGCCAGGGAGGGGAGGAAGAAAAGGCAAGAAGAGGGGGAGTAAGAAGGAGTAAGAGGGGAAGTAAGAAGAGGAGTAAGAAGGGGGTGGGGAAGTAAGAGAGGGAGGGAGTAAGAAAGGAGGGTAAGAAGAGGGGAGTAAGAAAGGGGTAAGAAGAGGGGAGTAAGAAAGGGGCTGGCGAAGAGGAGGGGAGTAAGAAGGGTAAGAGGGGAAGTAAGAAGAGGGGAGGGGAGTAAAAGGGGGGTAAGAAGAGGGGGAGTAAGAAGGGGGTAAGAAGTTCTTTATTTGAAATTTAAGTTTTTTTTTCCTGAAATTTCTTTCTTAAAATGAGGTGTGTGTTATACGCCGGTGCGTGTTATACGCCGATAAATACGGTAGGTCACTGTTGCAATGCCACGTATGTAACATGTGCTACTGTTTTAGGCAGAGTTTGTCTTATTTTTACTGCATACAATATTTAAACATGCTTTAAAATACAAATTAAACCACTAACACATGATGCATTAGTAACGCATCTCATAATTACACCAAACCTAGTTCGAAGATTGGCTATATTGATAAACATTGGAAAAAGTACTCACAGGCAAGTCTGCATAGAAATAGTGCTTTCGGTCAAAAAGGGATTTCTTATTTACGGTGCAGTTTAAAGCCAAGCCTGTCATTACAGCTGCTTCAATGCATCTTCTGTTAATTACCTAAAAAAATAAAAATATATTTTTTTTTTTATAAAAAGTATACGTAGGTAAAACAGAAAAATACGTCGTAGAGATTGTGTGGCAATGCTTTTCTCACAGGTAATATTATGCAAGTGAAAAATATTTTTACTACCTTTATATTTTTTTTTGCCTTTGTATCATCGGAAATACAAGAGGGATGTTCCTTTTAGTCAGGGCTTGACAAATTTGTTTGGAATCTAGGAGCCAGCTAAAAAAGTTAGGAGCCAGTCATTTCCAACGAGAAAAATGCAATTCTTAAAGGGACACTATAGTCACAAGAACCAGTACAGCTTGATGTAGTTGTTCTGGTGTCTATAGGCTGTTCATGCAGGCTTTTCAGTGTAATCACTGCCTTTACAGCAAAACGTAAGTGTTTACATTGCTGCTTAGCAACACCTCTAGTGACAGTCACTCAGACGGCCACTACAGAGTCCTGGGTCACAGCAGCACCAGCGTTCAGGGTTTCCAAGCTCTGCATGTAGGCGCTGAATGTTCCTCATAGAGATTCATTAAAGGAGCACTATTGGGTCAGGAACACAAACATGTATTCCTGACCCTATAGTGTTAAAACCACTATCTATCCCCTTGGCCCCCCTAAAGATAGTAAAATCTTACTTCTATACAAGTCTGAATGCTGCTTCTGCCGGTGAACTTCTTCTGACCTCTGACATCATCAGAAGTGGTGGCCTGATCCAATCACAATGCTTCCCCATATGATTGGCTGAGACTGACAAAGAGGCAGATCAGGGGCAGAGCCAGCACAATTAAAACACAGCCCTGGCCAATCAGCATCTCCTCATAGAGATGAATTGAATCAATGAATATCTATGAGGAAAGTTCAGTGTCTGCATGCAGAGGGAGGAAATACTGAATGCTTAAATGCATTTTTGGCGCCATGACCCAGTAAGAAACAGCTATCTTAGGAGTGGCCATTGAAGTTATCACTAGGCTGTAATGTAAACACTGCATTTTCTCTGAAAAGACAGTGTTTACAGTAAAAGGCCTGAAGGTAATTATTCTACTCACCAGAACAAATTCCATAAGCTGTAGTTGTTCTGGTGACTATAGTGTCCCTTTAATTCAATGCATCCCTATGAGGATATGCAGAGTGGCACATTTGTTGTGCATGTACAACATCCTCTCAATGCTTTCCTAAGGGCAAGCATTAGCTTAGATCATAAAGATTGATAAGCTCAGCCATTGAGGTGGTACCAGCTGCTGTGAAAATGGCACAGCATGGAAAAAGAAAGGTAAATAAAAACACCTTCCTCATATGATCGGAGGGGGGCAGGTACCTAAACGCAGACACACACACACTCACTCAGAGTCACACACACATAACAATATCATTGTCTGTCTGATGGAACAGACTGGATTTTAAATGTTTCTGATTGGTTTGCTTATTCATAATCTTTTTGCCTCTTTAAAATTAGCCTCTTTAATTTGCATATGTTTAAGAAAGGTTCTCAAAAACAGGATAAAATGAGATTCATGTCAATTTGCTTGGTCTTTTCCAGTGCTTCCTGAAAGTGTTTGCATAATGCCTCTATGTGACCATCCAGAAGAGGTGTATTCTGCACATGCCAAGTGCTTTAAAAAAAAAAAAAAAAAAAAAAAACCTTTTAACCTCATCTGGCCTTAGACCATGTGGGGGGGCAGGTGGAAATTGAGATCCTGTTATGACAAACAGCCTGGCTGTCAAACCGATAATGCAGCTTTTTAAATCCTTTGGGCCATTTATATTTGAGGCCAAAGGCAGACTTTCCATTTGTGCCTGTGCAGAAACTGATCTGGAACACATCACCTGTTGGGTGTGGGTTCTACTTACTGTGAGCAGGTTCCATACCTGCAAGATGATTGGCAGTCACCTGGGTCAGCCAGAGCCCACAATGCACATCCATAAATATGTCACCCAGACTTCCTGTAAATGCGCTGACGCAATAAACAAACAGCACACCACTCGGTTGGCTAAAGTGCTAAGGGAACCCACACTTCAGCACTTGCAATTTGTTACTGGTGGATTACTTCACAATCCCACTCAAGGCACAAGTAAGAATGGACGTGGTCCTGTGTTTAAGGTATTTAAAGGGCTGTAAGGAGGTTAAGCATGCTAACAATTCTCTTGTGCTGTGGCTCTACGCGAGGAAAGAATGATTAAGCTTTTCTCTTTGCAAAAAATAATCACAATAGACAAAGGAAAACTTACGTTTGATCCCATACGAAGACCAAGTTTTTCGACACAGTCTGATTCTCTTCTCGAAACATCACTCCTCCTCACAGGGGGGAGGGGACACATCTGTAGGATAGGCTGAGGTACGGAGAGGGCGTCATTGGTCGCCTGTTGCCGCTCTTATTCGTGGTTGGCTAATGACGCTGCGGGAGATGAAGTCACACCTCTGGCAGCAAAAGGGTTAATTCAATGCATCCCTATGAGGAGATGCGGAGTGGCACATTTCAAACTGAACTGCGCCACATACAGATAACAAGTACCATCACTACAGTGGTCATGGTGCTTGGAATAACCCTTTAAAGGGATGCTATACTTTTTTTATACACTCTATGCCAAGCACAATTCACCTCCGCCCCCAGTGTACGATTCAAAATGTAAGATATATAACGATTTACTTAATTTTTTTCCCAGCGCTGAGATTCTGTGCATGCTGCCCACTCTGCCTCCTTTTTCACCAGCAATGCTGACAACTTCCAACAACTTCCAACTTCTCATCTAATACAATGCGTCTCATAGAGAAGCACATGTACGGAAAGCCCACCACCCCTCTAATTAAATGCTTCCCAGAGGATCATTTAATCTAATGCTTCTCAGTGAGAAGCATTAGAGGACATTTGGCTTCTTCTTGCCACACAAGGACATTGAAAGTCTTTGTGGTTCTCTGACACTCCAAAACCCTATAGGGACACTCCATGATCCTAAAGATGATGAGCTTTAGAGGTCTGGAGAGTCCCTATAATTGTGAGCTGCTAATATGTAATGCATATTCTCCTTGTCAGAATGGGGTATAATTACACAAGACATGTAGGTAAATGTGAAGTAGTCATTATCTTTACCAATACATTACGTACATAAAATCATTAACAATGAATTACTTACAGGCAAGGTTCCTGGCAAAGAAGCATCAAAAAATGAAACTGTAGAATTAGGAGGGGCAGCAAACTGAACACGTGAGCTTGAAAAAAGCTTGGATTCTGAATTAATCTGTGCATGGATTTCGAGGCCAACAACACTTTCCCATCTCTCAAACCTGTAAAAGAAAATATAGTTCATACTCACTTTTAGCCATTACATTGAAAATTCTTGTTTGGTCTTCTGTTACAGTCAGTTGAACAACTGCACATCTGATCTGCTGGACACTTCCTTATTTGCTGAACAAACAAGTGTTGCCCTTTTCCCCTTCTTTTGGATTAACAGCAAAATAAGATGTGGAAAAAGGCTGAATTTGATGGATGCAAGTTTGTTTTTTTCCAGCATATGGAATTACGTAAAGAGTTAAGTCAGACCCCTAGACCACTCAATAGTGTACCGTACAACTTTGGCTGAATGTACGAGGTCTTCGAAAAAATAAACAGTTTCTAGATACATTTTTTACAATGATAGGTTGGAGAGCCATAAAAAGAAAAAAAGAAACCTATGGTAAAGGGCATAAAAAGTTAAAGGAACACTCAGGACACCAAACATCTACTGTATGCTGTAGTTATTGTACCAGGAGTGCACTGGAATACCCCCATGGTAAATAGTCAAACCATTTTAGAAAGGTTTGTCTCCTTACCTGGGGTTCGCCATTCTAGAATAGTTTCACTTCTTACTTGGGGTCTGCCAACTGTGAAGCGCCAAAGTACTATTGGCACGATAACCAGTAAAGTGTAATGTAATGGTTATGCTGCTTGGAGTGGGTCTTTAACGGAGAGAATTCCTGTTTGCAATAAAATCATTTAGCTATGGCTATTTCCTTTCTTTCTGCTGTAAGATAGATTTAATAAAGTCATAAAAAAGTAAATTCAGGATTGAAAACCTAACCTAAAAGACGCAATGTACCTGTGTAATTAAGACTAATCAAATGTTTTATTGGAGAGAATTGTAGTCTAAACATGTTGCACAATAGATTTATATTCACTTGTGCTCTTAGAGCCTTTTAGATCTGACAGTGACCCAACAGCACTATTGTTTATTGAGCTTTTAGTTATAAAAAGCACAGAAACTGACACGATATAAAGGCCAAGAGAACAGTGCATGAACACAATTCTCCCATTTACTCACGCATTATATTTCCCTCACCATACTCTACTTTAATTCAGCTGTTCTGAAACACACAAGTAAGGCACACACACTACATACAACCAACGGGCACGCACACATTACAAACAGCCAACACACTTCTGGCAGTATGTAATGTGTGAGCTGGATGATACATAATATACAGCCAGTCATCCCCACACACTCATTACACCTAGTTGCCGCCACTACGACTCACACTAATACTAAACTACAAATTTTGGATAACGAAATCCGAACGGAAAAAACTAAGCCCAAAATAGCCAGTTGTGACTATAGCGGGTTTGGATATTTTTTCCAGATCAGCTCTTTTTGCCTCAATTTTTTATTTTGGAATTAAATGGAAACTATAGTCAACAAAACAACTTTAGCTCAATGAAGCAGTTTGGGTGTATAGATCATGCCCCTGTTTATTCTAGAACTTCTTATCTCCTGCTTTGCTAATTGCCTTTTGAAGTTTGCATGAGACTTCAGGGCTATTTACAGAGGGGAGGATACAAACTTCAAAAGAAGTCAACATGTGATCATAAAGGCTGTGTGAGTGACAGTCACAGGAGGGGTTGATAGGGCTGCATTGACAGAAAAAAATTATTTAACTCCTAAATGACAGAATTGAACAGTGAGACTGCATACACATAATCTATACCAGAGCTTGACAAATCCCAGGCGCCAGGTCGCCATGGCGACTGGAATTTTTCTCCTGGTGCCCGGGTGTTTGTCATCCTTTTGGTGAACGCAGTCAGCCGAGGGAGCAGTAAATGTCCTGCAGTTCTTTGTCTCTGCTCCATTGAGCGCTGTTTAGTAATGCTAGGAGCCAGAATATTACTTTTTTTTTTTTTAACTAACCTTTTTCCACACGCCATGCCAGTCTCACTAAAGCTGGTCCCACTTCCATGGCTGAGATCATCAATCTTGTATTGCTACCTAGTACCACCTATACTGACAGTCATACAGACAGCCACTAGAGGTGATTCCTAGTCCAGTGCTGCACCTACGTTCAGCACCTCCACGCTCTACAAGGAGGCACTGAATGTTCCCCATCAAAATACAATGATTCAATACACCAAAACAACTTAAATAAGTTTAAAGAAAACTACAAAACATCATAACTACTACAGCTTGCTGCAAGCAACCTTTTTTTTTTTTTAAATCGTTAAGAGCAGGAAGTTCTTAAAGGACCACTCTAGGCACCCAGACCACTTCAGCTTAATGAAGTGGTCTGGGTGCCAAGTCCAGCTAGAGTTAACCCATTTTTTCATAAACATAGCAGTTTCAGAGAAACTGCTATGTTTATGAATGGGTTAAGCCTTCCCCCATTCCCTCTAGTGGCTGTCTCATTGACAGCCGCTAGAGGCGCTTGCGTGCTTCTCACTGTGATTTTCACAGTGAGAGCATGCAAGCGTCCATAGGAAAGCCTTATGAATGCTTTCCTATGTGACCGGCTGAATGCGCGCGCATACCCCATAAGATGGCAGAGTCACTTAAGTTATGCTGGTGGAAGAGTTTCTTTAAGTGTGTACTTAGCACTTTACCCCGATAAGCATTCAATGGTATAACACATCGGTCTATCGCACAAACAACTCTGACCAGAAAGTTACCTTTTTAACTATTAAGTGAAAAAGCTACTTTGAGAACTTTATAATGTGATAGTTACTCTACCGTAACTTTTTTTTTTTTTTTGGTAAGCTTACTATATCTTAATTGGGAATTGCTAGCTAGGCTTTCCGTCACCCCCTCCTTTAAAACCTGAAAATAAAAATAATCTTACTTGAAATCGAGCATGGAGATGCACACTCACGTAGTCCTATCAAATACTTTTTATAAAGAAGCATTTGACAGGGCAGTTTCAACGACTCAAAGTGCATGCGCAGCCTCTGAGCCAGCAAAAGGAAGGAGGGAATTAAAGAAATAAAATTAAAGAAAAGAAACAGAATGAGGGCATCCCTTGCAGGTGTACTTACTGGAAGGGAGAACATGATTACACCTGTCACAAGCACACTGATGACAAACATGTGTACAGTGTTCATGGCTGCAAAAATTCACATATGTCGGTCGTGCAACCAACTATCTCCGGATGTGTGGCGTTATAGAAACATAGAATGTGACGGCAGATAAGAACCATTTGGCCCATCTAGTCTGCCCAATTTTCTAAATACTTTCATTAGTCCCTGGCCTATCTTATTGTTAGGATAGCCTTATGCCTATCCCACACATGCTTAAATTCCTTTACTGTGTTAACCTCTACCACTTCAGCTGGAAGGCTATCCCATGCATCCACTACCCTCTCAGTAAAGTAATACTTCCTGATATTATTTTTAAACCGTTGTCCCTCTAATTTAAGACTATGTCCTCTTGTTGTAGTAGTTTTTCTTCTTTTAAATATAGTCTCCTCCTTTACTGTGTTGATTCCCTTTATGTATTTAAATGTTTCTATCATATCCCCCCTGTCTCGTCTTTGCTCCAAGCTATACATGTTAAGATCCTTTAACCTTTCCTGGTAAGTTTTATCCTGCAATCCATGAACCAGCTTAGTAGCCCTTCTCTGAACTCTCCTTCTCCTCTGAAATATCCTTCTGAAGATACAGTCTCCAGTACAATACTCCAAGTGAGGTCTCACCAGTGTTCTGTACAATGGCATGAGCACTTCCCTCTTTCTACTGCTAATACCTCTCCCTATACAACCTTGCATCATGCTTGCATTTTCTGCTGCTCTATTACATTGTCTGCTTTAAGTCATCAGAAATAATCACCCCTAAAACCCTTTCCTCAGATGTTGAGGTTAGGACTCTATCAAATATTCTGTACTCTGCCCTTGGGTTTTCATGTCCAAGATGCATTATCTTGCACTTATCCACATTAAATGTCAGTTGCCACAACTCTGACCATTTTTCTAGTTTATCTAAATCATTTGCCATATGGCTTATCCCTCCTGGAACATCAACCCTGTTACATATCTTAGTATCATCAGCAAAAAGACATACCTTACCATCAAGACCTTCTGCAATATCACTAATAAAAATATTAAAGAGAATGGGTCCAAGTACAGATTCCTGAGGTACCCCACTGGTGACAAGACCAAGCTTCGAATATACTCCATTGACTACAACCCTCTGTTGCCTGTCACTCAGCCACTGCCTAACCCATTCAACAATATTGGAATCCAAACTTAAAGATTGCAGTTTATTGATAAGCCTTCTATGTGCAACAGTGTCAAAAGCCTTACTGAAATCTAGGTAAGCAATTTCTACTGCACCACCCTGATCTATAATTTTAGTTACCCAATCAAAAAAAATCAATAAGATTAGTTTGGCGTGATCTCCCTGAAGTAAACCCATGTTATGTCTGATTTTGAAATCCATGTGTTTTTAGATGTTCAACAATCCTATCCTTTAACATGGTTTCCATCACTTTCCCCACTACTGAAGTAAGGCTTACTGGCCTATAGTTGCCCGACTCCTCCCTATTACCTTTCTTGTGAATGGGCACAACATTCGCTAACTTCCAATCTTCTGGGACTGCTCCTGTTAACAATGATTGGTTAAATAAATCTGTAAATGGATTTGCTAGTACACCAGTAAGTTATTTTAATAACTTTGGGTGTATCCCATCAGACCCCATCGACTTATTTGTCTTTACTCTTGACAGTTGAAATAGAACCTCTTCATCTGTAAACTCAGGTGTAATAAATGACTAATTTATCCTTTTTCTTAACTGAGGTCCCTTTCCTTCATTTTCATCTGTAAATACCGAACAAAAATATTAATTGAGGCAGTCAGCTAGACCTTTATCCTCTTCTACATGCCTTCCTTCTCTTGTTTTTAATCTAACTAATCCTTGTTTTACTTTTCTCATTTATGTATCTAAAAAATGTTTTGTCCCCCTTTTTTTACTGACTGTGCTATTTTCTCTTCTGTGTGTGATTTGGAAGCTCTTATAACTTGCTTAGCCTCTTTCTGCCTAAGCTGATAGATCATTCTGTCTTCCTCACTCTGGGTTTTTTTTTATAATTACTAAATTCTAACTTTTTGTTTTTTACTATTTTGGCCACATCTGCAGAGTACCACAGTGGTTTCTTGAATTTTTTGCTTTTACTGACAAGCCTAATGCAAATTTCTGTTGCCTTCAGTAGTGCAACTTTTAAATAATTCCATTTCTCTTGGGCTCCATTTAAATTGCTGCAGTCTGATAATGACTCCTTTACGCATATTCTAATTTTAGAAAAGTCTGTTTTTCTAAAGTCTAAAACTTTTGTTTTTGTGTGGTGTGAGTCACTGTTCTTATACTAAACCACACTGACTGATGATGACTGGATCCTAAACTTTCACCTACAGTAATATCTGATATCAAATCTCCATTTGTTAACACTAAATTTAGTATGCCATCTTTATGAGTTGGCTCCTCAACGACTTGTTTTAGAGACAATCCCAGTAGGGAGTTTAGAATATGTGTGCTCCTGGCACAAGTAGCTAATTTTGTTTTCCAATTTACATCAGGAAGCTTAAAGTTACTCATGATGATAACTTCCCCCTTGTCATTTTAGCTATTTCCTCAACTAGTAGATTATCTAACTCTTCAATTTGTCCTGGGGGCCTATAAATCACACCTACACGAGTTACTGTGTGATTACCAAATTCTAACGTAACCCAAACGTCATCTATGTTCGCTTCACTAACTTATTATGCTAGATTTTATGCTATCCTTCACATACAGGGCCACCCCTCCCCCTTTCTTGCCTTCCCTGTCTTTTCTATATAAAGAGTATCCTGGTATTGCTATTACCCAGTCATTTTTCTCATTATACCATGTCTCAGTAACAGCGACTAAATCTACACTATCAGTTGCCATTATTGCCACAAGTTCATGGATCTTATTCCCTAAACTGCAAGCATTTGTAGACATGACTCTAAGCTTATAATTTTTTAACACACTTGCTACATGCACCTTCTGTCCTTGTTTTGGGGGTAAAATTGGATTGATGTTGTATCACCCTTTTGCCCCTCCCTCCTAGTTTAACCCCTTAAGGACCAAACTTGTGGAATAAAAGGGAATCATGACATGTCACACATGTCATGTGTCCTTAAGGGATTAAATACATCCTAGCAAAACCTCTGAACTGCTCACTGAGAACATTTGTTCCCTTTTGAGAAAGATGCAAACCATCTTTTTTGTACAGTTTATTTCCATTCCAAACAGAGCTACCATGAGAAATAAAGCCAAATCCTTGCTCCCGACACCATTCACCAAGCCATACTCGTTTCCTGGCACTATAGTGCTCTGAGGGTGCCCCAAACCTCAGGGTCCCCCTCCCGCCGGGCACTGGGGAGAGTAAGGGGTTAAAATCTTACCTTTCTCCAGCGCCGGGCAGGGAGCTTTCCTCCTCCTCCCCTTCTTCCTAGCGACGTCATCTGCTGAATGCTTTACTATGGACGCTGGCGTCTTCTCACTGTGATTTTCACAGTGAGAAGCACGCAAGCGCCTCTAGCGGCTGTCAATGAGACAGCCACTAGAGGCTTTAGAGGCTGGATTAACCCTCCGTGTAAACATAGCAGTTTCTCTGAAACTGCTATGTTTACTTAAAAAAGGGTTAATCCTATCTGGACATGGCACCCAGACCACTTCATTAAGCTGAACTGGTCTGGGTGCCTATAGTGGTCCTTTAAAGTCCCTAATACGCATCCGCCTGTCGTTCTGAGTGTTATGCACAGGCAGAACTTCAGAGAATGACAGTGTGGAAGCAACCTGCCGTATATCATTGGCAAAAACACTAAAAACTAATTTAACCTCTGAAACCTCATAGCAAGCCACGTCATTTGTCCCTAGATGGACTAGTACATCCAATTCCCCTTCCTGCTTTGCTCGCTTAAAGGACCACTATAGTGCCAGGAAAACATACTCGTTTTCCTGGCACTATAGTTCCCTGAGGGTGCCCCCACCCTCAGGGACCCCCTCCCGCCCGGCTCTGGAAGGGGGAAAGGGGTAAAAACTTACCTTTTTCCAGCGCTGGGCGGAGAGCTCTCCGATCCTCCTCCTCGTTATTCCTCGGGGCTGAATGCGCACGCTGCAAGAGCTGGCGCGCAGTTGTCCATAGGAAAGCATTTACAATGCTTTCCTATGGACGCTTGCGTGCCTCACTGTGAAAATCACAGTGAGAAGCACGCAAGCGCCTCTAGTGGCTGTCAATGAGACAGCCACTAGAGATTAGGGGGAAGGCTTAACCCATTCATAATTATAGCAGTTTCTCTGAAACTGCTATAATTATGAAAAATGGGTTAACCCTAGAAGGACCTGGCACCCAGACCACTTCATTAAGCTGAAGTGGTCTGGGTGCCTAGAGTGGTCCTTTAACAATATTACAGATACGTCTCCTGTCTGTGAGCAGTAGCTCCGGGAAGACACCTCACAAGACCACCATTGTCTATCTCCACACCTCTTATGATAGAATCCCCAACAACTGCTTTCTATTAGTACTCACCATAGTCTCCAAGCCTGTCTCCAAAACACCACTAGCCTCAGTGCCTGAGCCTGTCTCCACAACACCACTAGCCTCAGTGCCTCTCTCCACAACACCATTACACTCTGAAAGTGCAGAAAATGAATTATGTAGAGTAACAGACTGTGCAATATGCCTTTTATCCACAACTCTAAGTCTACCAGATCCTACAGTAATCCATCTGCCATTCCTAGTATGTCTCTGCGGCAGTGGCTTTGCAGCATTTCCAGTCTGAGTTTACCATATAATTTACAAATCTCAGACTTCAAGAATACAATCTCCTGCCGCAAGATAGAGAACTGTCTACAGATTAGACAACAACCAAACCTCCAAAAAGTGGAACGTGAAACCAATGCATAGCAATTATTACACTGAACTAAGTCTGCCATTCCAATGAGGAGAATAATTTAAATCAAACAAATCTTAACTTTGTATTTATCCTCCTGAATACCTCAGATTACCTCCAGGTTATCTCCAGAATATCTCCAACTACACACTTAGAAGCAGCACTGTCCAGAATATCTCCAACTACACAATTAGAAGTAACACTTAGATGAAGCAACCAAGCTATATTAGTTATATAAATAATAATAATAATAACTCCTGGCATCATGGCCACTTGAGTCACTTAAGTGGTCCTGGTGGTTAGAGAACCCATTAAGTTTAAAATAAAAAAAAATTTAAAAAAAGTAATTTTTTCATTGTGAATTTTATTGTAAAATAACCCACACTAGTATAATCCTTTTCGTGAGAAAATAAAGCGTGTTCTGTACCGCAGGATCCTATAGTTTGCACCTGTAACTCTGATGAGAGCTCTATAGGGCTTTCCTGCTACTTCTCCACACTATCAGGCAGCAGCAATAAACAAGTTTCCATCTCACTGAAACCAACTATTAGACAGTCATTGCCAGGACTCTGCATGCAGCACACCTATACCGTAGCGGGGCTCACATTGGGGGCAGCTTACCAGGACGGAGCGGGGCGGCCGGAGAAGGCTCGCTCACACAGTCTGTTCACAGGGGAAACAAGGAGAGCAGGGCGGCCCCGCAGTAACAGGACTTTATTGAACGGCATGCTGGCACGGGTATGGTTTGTTTTTTTAACTCAGCTGCCACTATCCCTCCGCGACCTCACACTTTCCCATCTGCAGCAGGATTGAAATGAAGCGCATGCGCAGAGCGACAGAGGCTGGAGCGCAAACGCTGCGTGTGTTTACGGCTTTGGAGGGCAGGCGCGCGTTTACGACGTCTCGCTTCAGTCGGCGTAGTCTGTGCTCGCGCGCGTCCTCATTGGGGGTAAAAAACCTAAACAAACGAAACGAAACAGCGCACGTGCGCATAGAAAGAGGGAGGGAAAACGGTCACCGCCCACTACAACTAGCCTGCCCTGTATAACACACTGACATGTTATGTCCACATATGTTAAACATTTTAATTGGGGGCAAATATATATATACAGACCCACCACCACCGTGTTTATGTCATTGTCCCCTGTTTGTGCCCCTTTGTGTCATTGTCCCCTGTTTGTGCCCCTTTGTGTCATTGTCCCCTTCCCCAGGCCCTATTGTGTGCCCTTCTCTATTCCCCTCTTGCACACCTGATCTCCTTTGTGTAGTGTGGCTGTCAGTTGGGCAGGTCCATTACTGTGCTTTAATAATGAACATGTGCTTATATTTATAAGAAAATATAATATATAATATATAATATAATAGAGTTCTATAAGAAAATGACAGGTATACTCCCTCCAGGTACTTCAAGACACCAAGCTAGTCCTCCTGGAGATGGTCTTTTATTATAGCCTCCTTTTAATTAGTCCCAACAAGTTCTTCTCAAAGATGGACTTTGGTATTTGATTGCTTGCTTCACGCAGCAGCCCCTCAAAAGTGAAACACGGCTTGGGATTGGTCTCTGGCCCCAGTCGTTAGCAATGTCCTGCCGTTCACAAAGTTCCAAGGATTCAACCTGTGGATCACGTCAGCCTGACTAAGCGGACTGCCGTTTCCTCTATCCGGACTGACATGTAGCTGTTGGGTGCTCTCACCGAACATTTCCTGTCAGACCGGGTTGAGGATAAAGATCCTCTACTGTGGCACGGTGCGCTTGCCCACGCTACATGAAGTCACTGGCAGGAGGAGGAGCGCAGTGCACTCTCCTCCTGCCGGTCACCTGGGGTCAGGATACTGTGCTCCCAGGGCCAGTGTGCCCTAAGGCGGCTGCCCGTGCCGCCTTATGGTAGCACTAGCCATGTAAATATAGTTGTAATAAAAATTATACAACCCCCATTAAAAATCATGTTTATTGTCAAGTGTGACGGATCACCTGGCACACCGACTGGGTACCTCCGCCAACAGATGATTCCTAGCTGACGCTTATGACCATAAACACCGCACCGGACACCACAACCGCCGTAGCTTAGCAGGGATCTTGCAGTCTTCCTCCCACCCTGGACCAACCTCTGATATCCAGGACCATGTGGGAAAGACCTCTCTAGAGAGCGTAGCAGGAACAGCTCTTACAAGAGCTAGTGATTAGAACCCAGGGGAGTATAAGGAGTATAGCAATCCCCAATGTGAATATAGCAGTATAGCAGTTCCCCTCCAATCACGAGACCAAGCTACGTGTTGAGGGTTAAGCAGGACTCTCTTTTAATCGAGGCACACTGGCCTTTTATGTAAGTTTCCCAACAAGCGTGACACCCACGTGGACCTTGTTGGGCACAGGGACACAAAGTTAACAAACCAATAAAAACAGAGTTATACAGTGAGACACTCCCATCCAGTATACATAATCCCTCCCCTCTGCCTGGGAGATAATTAAGGCAGATAATGCATTAACTTAATTATCCCTTGGCAAAAAAACACACACACATTTTTATAAAGTATCATAAGTACCCCAAAACACAACATATCCCTATAAAACATCCCCTGATAGCCCTGATCTGGGTGAACAACATATCCAAAAATCACCCAGATCAGAGCAGGGGTTCAGGAAATTCCTGGAAATCTCTTTTTGACCGAATGCACGCATGACTTCATGCCCAAAACAGTTCCAGAGAATCAAGCTGTGCGGCCTGTTTATTTTAAATAGTCAAAATACCATTCAAATTACCGAACGTAGCCGTTCGTGCATGTAGTCAGTATATGTCCCTTGTTCGTGGGTTTCTGCCCACTGAACGCTGTTCGAATCCCGTTCTAATAGCCGAAATTCCATGGAAGGTAACTGTTCAGCGGTGCTAGTGCCGTCGCGTGTCAGTTTTGAGTTCCATTAACTCGATGACAAAACATCGCTGAACACGTTTGACTAAACAAGATGGCCGCTGCCATCTTGCTGAAAAACATCCCCACAGTATGATGCTGTCACCAGCATGTTTCACTGTGGGAATGGTGTTCTTTGGGTGATGTGATGTGTTGGGTTTGCACCAGACATAGCGTTTTCAATTTTAGTCTCATCAGACCAGAACACCTTCCTCCATACATTCTGGGAGTCTCCCACATGCCATTTTGCAAACTCAAAGCGTGCCATTTTGTTTTTTTCTGAAAGTAAAGGCTTTCTTCTGGCCACTCTGCCATAAAGCCCAACTCTTTGGAGCGTACGGCTTATTGTTGTTCTATGTACAGATACTCCAGTCTCTGCTGTGAAACTCTGCAGCTCCTCCAGGGTTACCGTAGGTCTCTGGTTAGCCTCTCTGATTAATGCCCTCCTTGCCCGGTCCGTGAGTTTTGGTGGGTGGCCGCCATTTGGCAGGTTTGCTGTTGTGCCATGTTCTTTCCATTTGCTTATGATAGATTTGATGGTGCCTCCTGGGGATCATCAAAGATATGGTTATTTTTTTTATAACCTAACCCTGACTTGTACTTCTCAACAACATTGTCCCTTACTTGTTTGTAGAGTTCCTTGGTCTTCATGGCAGTGTTTGGTTAGTGGTGCCTCTTGCTTAGGTGTTGCAGCCTCTGGGGCCTTTCAAAAAAAGTGTGTATATGTAATGACAGATCATGTGACACTTATATTGCACACAGGTGAACATCATTCCACTAATTATGTGACTTCTGAAGGTAATTGTTTTCACCAAAGCTTTTTATGGGCTTCATAACAAAGGGAGTGAATATATGCGCACATGCCAATTTTCTGTTTTCTATTTCTAAAAAATAGTTTTATGTATATATTTTTCTCATTTCACTTTACCAACTTAGACTATTGTGTTCTGATCCATCACATAAAATTCAGATTAATAAAACATTGAACTTAAGGCTGTAATGCAACAAAATAGGTAAAAAGTCAAGGGGTGAATACTTTTGCAAGGCACTGTAAATAGGCTGGACACTCCACTTGTGTGTGGTCCAGCTGTTCGGTGGTTCAAAGTGGCACTTCAAACCACTTAGAAAGTTTGAAGAACCATTGTTCAAAGTCCCAATAGGCACAACTAGGGTCCTCAACCACAATAAATGAAAGGGGCCATAGTCATAGGGTAAAAGGCTGGCAAGTAGTCCTCTCCAACCCCCAGTGGGGAAGTGGCTTTCACCACATCAAGATTTACAGACTTTCAGCTGTTTGCAATGAACAAATCATGACGTTGCTTGGTTTAGTCTGGCGAATTCAAACATCGCGCCTAAACCAAGCTACAACCAATAGGCTGAAAGGGCGTGAACCAAATCGCACCAATCAGCACTTAGGGAGGAAGGAGTGTCGCCATCCAATCCAAAGAAAGGGCGCAAAACTCGGTTGCACTAATTGGTGTTGGGGGAGGAGAGGGGTTTCACTGCCCAATCAGAAGAAAGGGCGAGAAACCCCGTTTGAACAAGCGCTCCTTCTCCGATTGGTTGCCTGCGCCTTGCAGCGACCAATCAGCACTCACTCATGCCGACCAACCAGGAGAATGGCGCGAACCCAGTTTGAATGGGCGCTCCCTCTCCTATTGGTCGGCACGGACTTCCAGGCAGCCAGCGGGGACTCTGCGGCCATGAGACCGACTCACAGCTCCAGAGATTCCCTGCTGGCGCGCGTCCCTCTCTCCGGTGGATACCCCCACGCAGGCGTTCTCCTGGGCAGCTACAAGGCTAGCCTTGCCCTGGTGGGCATTCGGTGATACAAATTGGAAACCACCCAGGGGAAGCACGCACAGCTTGTTTACCTTGCGGTCTGCAGTTTTCAAACCTTGTTAGTGAGGTGTGAACATTCTAACTAAACGTTCTAAATGGAGTATCGGGGTGGTCCGGCACACGTAAAAATGCATGCGGAAATACACATTCAACAAGGGAAAATCATGAGAATACACATTGGGGACACAAAATACAAAACCAAAACATCTGAATATTCAGTGGGCATGGCACTTAGTGGAGGTGTCCCGCCAAACTAGTACAGCACCCTTATGGTGTTATGACCTGCTGCATGCATAGAACAGAAGAAAGGGATCAGCGCTCTCTATCTATACAAAATACAACAGAAACAATAATAAATAAGTAAAAAGTGGCAGCACACCTAAAAAGTAGGGCTCCCTCACAGGCCTTACAACAGAAATGGTACAGAAAAAAGAAAGGAAGGCAGCGCCACTACAAACCACATAAATTAAAAGAGCACAGAATAGGCAGACTAGAATGCAATATACATAATAAATAATAAGCAAATAGAAGTCCAGAATAAATAGTCTGACTGGTAGATGAATCAAACAACGAGGTATATCTTTGTAGAGGTGAATACAGTCTTTTGTAGTTGGGGATTCTTCAGAGTGGTGTAGATGCGTCTTTGTACATCATATGAAATGAAAAAATAACAACTGATGGTATAGTATGTCTCGAAGGGAGTAGAAGCAATAAAAGAGTATATGGTCCTACTCACGTTTTCAAGAGCTATGGACTTAGCTCTAGTGTTGATAACGTACAGTGGTATAATCCCCACTTATGGGATACGTGAGGTCTTAGTATTCTTTCTTGATTAGGGAACCATATGTGGAAATAAAAGCAGGAACAACAATGGTGCTCAAAGTATAAAATGCCAGAGGTGAGAAGATAAAAAACCAAGTGGTTACTCACATTTAGTTGAACAGACTAACTGTTCAATGAATACAGCTTGAGTGGTATAATCCCCACCTAGGATCCTTGGGAGTAATATCCTCACTGGAAAGTAAAAACACTTCTGGTGCCAGATAAAAGGATGGTAGTAGTAAAAAAGTAAAATGATAATAGTAATAAAAAGTAAGATGGCTAACTCACAG